TCTATTAATTTGGCAGGGGAAGCAGCGAAAGCATAGCAAGCAGTGTAAACAGGGGTCACGGAATCCTCAACATCCTCAAAGGACATCAAAAGACCAGCTGCCAGATGAGGAGTCACCAAGGCCAACTGTTGTATCTCTGTGAGGCGATCGAAGTCGAGGCCTGCAAGCAAGAACATCTCTGCAAGCCTTGCCAAAAAGCATGCAGTTAAGGTGAGTAAAAGAGCAGGAAAAGCAAGCATCTTTTCAAGGGCACACAACTAAGAACCACCTTGAGCTGGCATGAGGACAGGCTTGATGAATGATCCGTCGCTGTGTCCTTGGCTCAGGATGCGTCGTCAGCTCCTACAAAAACCAAGAAAGAGCAGTAGCTGCTGTCATTTGGTCGCAGCTTTAGGGTTTTTGGAAGCAACATTCAAGCTCTTTGACAATTTGAGGCACCCAAAAGCAGACATAGCAGCTTTATTCTTCCTTCGCTCTGACCTGTCCTGACCAACTGTGTGTTGAAGCCCATTTGAGAATTTGCTCGAGCGCGGTCCTGATTGTAAGGGAACAAAAATCCGCCGAGTCGTCAACCCCCACCCCCCGCAACCCCCGCCCAACCCCCCTCCCCCCCTCTCCGCGCTCCAACTCCCTCCCTCCCCATTGTCCCACTCACTCCTACATTTGGGGTGCTTGCTCTTTTCATGAGCCTGCGTGTTACAACCGGCTTCACACCCGCGATCTCCGGTTTGGGTTCCCTCGCCGCTGGGCAGGCCCAGGCCGAGGCGGGTCGCGCAGCGTTAAAACTTTCACAATTATTCAGCTTGTGACCGTGAATCCTTGAAAATCCCTTTATGTCCTTTGAACCTGGAACCCAGGGCCACCTCCCCCCCTAGCATGAGGTCAGAGCCGCCCAGGCAGTCAGAAAAGTCGGAATCCGTCCGGGTAAATTCCTGGGAGGATCGCAAAAAGCGCGTAACAAGGAGACCATCGCTGTGCAATGCCTCTACCGGATGAATGCAGAGTACCACACTAAAGGAAGCCTACTGCGGCTAGCATCCGCACCTTGAGCTCCCTTGATCGTGTCGGAGCTACATTAGTAGCTTCAACTGAAAAACACAGATCTGGTTGAACGCCATGTCTCGCAAGACTCCGGCGTCCGAATCTGAGATGCCATGATCACACGCAACTTGGGGGGCAGGAGAGCTGGTGGAGCCGCGCGTCTGCGGGTTGATCTGTTCTTTCAACAACGGACCGGGGGTCCCACAAGGGAGATGGCTGATAACATGGCTGCGCAAAGCTGCTTTTCCATCGTGATCCCCACTTCTGTAGCAGCTGTAGCATAAGCACAATCTGTTCCAAAGGCTGAGGCGGCTGCCTGAGCTTTGTGAACGAGCAGGAGGGCGAAAGAGATGCCTCCCAAGTGACAGGCACAGGCTGAACAGCTAATTTCCGGAGCAGAAACGATGCGAAGGGGGCCTGGCTGGCTGAGGAGTAGTGACAGTTCGGAGCATGGTCGGCCTGACCACAGCTAGCTGTCATCAGAAAGTCCTATTGTGCACGTCTCAAGGTTGCCGAACCTGGCGACACATAGCATGGCGGCAGCAGCAGGGCAAGTACTGTATATCCGTAAACTTTCCATCGGTCAATGTCCCAGTCTAGGTAGCATCAGTTGAGCTGCTGAAATACTACAAAAGGCGGCAATTACAAGACTCGGGAGTGCAATCGATGCGAATCCTTCAGAGCTGTCTGAGCCGAAGGTCGCGGCCTTGCAAACCTGAATTCGAGAACTCAAAGTTCCTTGAAACTTGACTTAAAAGACCAGAGCGTCCCAGGCGCGCACGGCCTGCTTCTACTTTGTCGGTTTGCCACAGTCCCGAGATGTCATGGTCAACTGTTACCAGGAGGTCCCTTGCTGAGTGGCCCACGTAATGTGACCCAACAGGATGCAGTACACCTGTAAAGGCTTAAGAAGAGGGCATGCTCTCATCACTGGAGGGCGGTTCTTAAACTGTGCTTTCTTCCGATTCGACTCGCTTCCCTGATCTGACTCCTCTCCACTCTGTGCCTCCCTCGTCCCCTCTCAAGAGTTATGGCCAAGTTATGGCGTTATGGCTCCAACTAGGGAAGGCTACAAAGCACTGCCAACACAACGTTGGCATCCCAAACGAGCATGATGCTGGTTGGGAAGTGCTCCTCATGTCTTTGGATGCTCATGTCGTCGGAGCGGCCTCAATCTCCTATCGGTTTGGCATGTTGTGGCATCGACAGGTGCCTTGATGTTCTCGGCCAGCTTGTCCAGCAACCACCTCGCATATTGCAGCACCACAACACGAACAACACCCAAAGTGAAGATCCTTCGACACCGAGAGAGCCGCTCGCTGGCAGGCTTGGCGGCGTCAATGTGGCCTGACCGTCAAGTGGGCAACCTGCTTCTGCTTCACTGGTCGGCGGAGGTATGTGGGGTACCCCACCTTTGGCAAAGTCCTCCATGTTCCGGTCGGAGAACTCAAGCATCGTGTCCCTGCAAGCCAGACATTCTGGGTGCGGGAGGCTCACGAGGGCTCTTGCTGCTGGATATGGAGCTGAATAAGATTCGGGCCTCGTGGCCTTGTGGATGTAAACACCGTTGGTTTGGGGTGTGCATTCCCATAAGATTTCACGCACACTTGCTGATTCGACTTGGCAAACTTTTCTGTCGTCGTTCCGCCTAGCTCGCCCTCACCCGACCCGGAGGGTTCAAAGCCTAAAAGCGGCCTTACCTGACCTTCCCCTTGTGGCTTCCCGAACTGCGGCTCCAAGGCTTTACAAGGCTTTGCTTTTCACTGTACGTCCTTCGGTGCTGTGGGCGAGGTGGGCGGGTTGCATCGCGAAGTGTGGGGGAACACTTGTAGACAGCCCTGTTATGTTTTGCCAACCATCTTCCTCGCCTAGGTGGCTAAGGAGACTGCAACTCAACCATCGAGAAAAAGAATTGTCCCACTTGAGGCGGCCAGACAGCCCCCCCATCGCCAACACCATCAAAAAACCAGATGCCCAACCCGGAGAAAGGGGGGGGGCCTTGCTCAATGGTTTCGGGGCTGAATCAAGGGTGCACACTGCAGCACTTTGCGGCACCGCAGGCATTTGGGTACGGAGAGGAGGGAATAGGCAGAACCACTTGGGCCTATCCTGCATGGCTACATGTGGAACCCTCTTTGCATCCTTCTTTTGCATCTGCCAATATCTTGAAAGGCATTAGCGGCAGCATTGCGCCCCTTTTAATCATCGTTATTTCGATTCAGTGGATTCAGTGCAGCGCAGCATGGGGTCTGTCGGACATGTTTCTGACCTTACAACTTACAAGCTTGTTGCCGACAGAATGCTGCTCTATAGAGCAGAATCGCTCAGCTGTTCGCCGGTCTGGAACACTGGCGACTACAAACTTTGTGGCTTGAGGAGCCCTCCCTCATCGTCATCGTCTGCACAGGTCCTGCAGGTTCACAGATTCACAAAACCGAAATTCATTCTCGAGACTTGCTCTCAAGCTATCAGGAGTGCATCCCGGGTCCTGATCAAATCTCCGAGTTCTTCGTGATGGAGCATCACCTTGTCGTATGACAATGAGTATGAATTTCACCCTATTCTGGAAGTCTGTGGCTTCTGTCACGCTGCTGAAAAACAGAAACCGGCGGCTGTGTTCAATAGTCAAGCATTCGTCAGTGGCAACTTATACTCGATCAACCAGCAGAATGATAGCGAACGCTCATGTGTTCAGCACAGGCGCCCATCCCTCCAACTCACCCTCACGCACATTCACCTGAGCAGCTGAGCGTCTACCAAACGACTTGCAGCTTTTACGATGTTTGGCTTAAGGGAGGTTTGGGGGGGTAGAGAAGCTTGGAACCTCACTTGCCTCACTTGACTCACTTGACTCAAGTGACTCACTTGCCTGACTCACTTAGAATCCTTGAGACTCACCCTGAAAGCTGTGCCATGTATAAGCAACATATCAGGATCTTACACCGGCGAGGGATCTGGCACCTTCCTACTTCTGAGGGCAGCGAACAGAATGCGAAAGGTGCTGTAGGACCCTAAAGACAATCATGCCGATAAGGTGTAGGATAACATGCATAAGGCAGTTTTGCACCGCACGTTCTTGATGGTGTGTTCCTTTATCGAACCCCATCATGCCACTACTGGCTTCACTGGCTTCACTGGCTTCACTGGTTTCACTGGCTTCACTGCTACCGACACCGTTTTCTTGGCCTCGCAGGCTCTAGACTTAGATTTCAAAGTGCTGCTCCCTCAACATCGTTTGCTTTAATATGCTCATTAACAACGAGCAAAAACAAAGCAAAATACATGCTAGCTACATATAGTCAACCGACCGTCTTCACTCTTTGCACAGTATGCCTGGAGCATGCACAAGCAGGCGGAGGGATCATTACAGAATCACAGAGCGATGCCCAAGCTGATCCAAAACCCGTTGGCACGGCACATGTCATGATTGATCAGTCTAAGGTAGACGCACTAGCGGACCGGCTACGGTCGGTTGATTTTCCTACGGTTGGGTGCAGGTCTTGGATGGGCAATGAAGAAACTGAAACACACGCTAAATGACAGCGTCGGCAAGGCCATGACGTGCAGGCAAGTGGCCTGGACTTTGCCCCAGCTCTGTGTGTCGTCAAAGCCCAAGACACGGAGACGGTCATGTTTCACGCCTAGCTCAATGTCCGCACACATTCACTGTGATTTCCCCCTTCGGGTGCAAAGTCGGCGAGGACGGCTGAGGCTTCTTCTGCTGACCATCGAGGTCTGTAGGGGGTTCTTGTAGCATCTGCATGATGCTGGTAGGACGAACGTGCTTGCGGTCGTAGGATGAACGAAACCAGAGTACGGGTCAATACCCGTCTGCCAACACTGCACACATCTTGATTGTACGCGCCCAACCAAGAATGGGTCCGGGTTCGGCCCCTTGAAGGAAGTCTCTGCCCGTCAACAAACGTAGACTAAAACCATACGCGGAGCGTCAAAGACCATCAACGAGCACTCCTTTCAGCCGGGTTACGCTTCGTCAGCTTGTCACCCTTCGGGTTGGGCTCACGTCGGATCCAAATGGCATCGTAGACAACTTCCTTGGATACACCATTCGCGTCCGCTTGCAAAGCTTGCTGTACTGCTTGCGCATGGCGCGCTCTGAAGTGGAATCGGCTTTCTGGACAAAAGTGCCAACGCGAGGTGCGTAAAGGATGCCCTCCCGTCTTGGGGGCGGCTTCGCTTCAGTCTCCTTCGACTCGCTTGTCGAGGCCTCAACCGCGAATAATGCGGACACGAGAAACGAGAATGTTGAGGACTCAGTCGCGGCATGTCGCGGCCTCTCGGCTCCGGGGCCGGCACCCTTGGCGCTCTGGCCTCCGACTCCACAGCTGCTGCCACGGCACCCAAGGCACCAGGCAGCTCTGGCCGCCTCGAAGCTGCCAAACATGCCACGAAAAAATCTGAACTCGGGCTGTCGATGCACATCTTCGCACTTGCTGCCAGCTCAGCCGCTGAGGTGAGTCCGGTACATCGGTGGCTGCCTGATGCTGTTGGTCCAGAAAAACTCTGGACTGAAAGCGCCCGCCACTGAGCTGACCTTCTTTGTTGTAACCGAAGCCTCTAGTACCCAACCCCTTCCCTGAGAGCATTGCCCTTAGAATCATGCAGCGCAGCGCAACAATCTGAGGGCGCCTCCTCCATGGCTTCCAGAAGGTCATCCTTCGCCATGACACCTGGCAGCTGATCTCCAAGCAGTGGGGGCATCTGGAACAGAGCTTTGGACTCCCCGAGTGCTCTTGAGATTGTGTCTGGCTTGGGTCTTCCTTCTTCGCGAAGACTTCATCAACATGAACATGGTGGCAACACTCTAGCAAGTGGCAATGTGTGTTTTACGTTCCCTCGGATGGTGCGGCAGAGATAGGCACACGGAGATGGCACCTCGCCGCCTGGCCGCCGCCATGGCCTCGGCCGCGCGGCGCTCTTCAGGGCCCAGGCCCGCCAGCACGGTCCTCCGAACGAAACAGAGAGATTCTCAGAAGCACGGAGACAAAACACTCGCTTCGTCCCGGACGTTTCATGGAAGTTTATGGGAGCCTCCCTCTCACTTGCACATCCCTCAACTCACCTTGCGCAGTGCGAGTCAACACGCCGACTCGCAACGCGCGAGTGCGAGCAAGTTCCCCGGCCTTAACGCCGCCTGATCCGGCGACCGCCTGGGCTGTTGCGACGTCTGCGATGTCGCGTGTCTGAACATAATCATCCAAACATTTTCCCCAGCGCCCCTCCAGTCCCATATACCCCTCAATTCCCATAGCAACCTGCAGCCTAAACCTTCTGCTTGAAAGTTGGCTACCTGATCTTCGTGCTGGCCCCGGTAGCGTTTAATGTACATCTGCACTACAAAAAACTCCATGATGCCGTGAACAGGGCCCAATCCCACATGCTGCTCGACCATTGCCTATGCAGCGCGGCTTGATCGAACACAGCAGCACGAGTTGCAGAATTTTGAAGGGGATCCCAAACATCGAACCGCGCGAAATACACTGATTTGTAAACCTCTTCGACAAGCCACCCTGCCAAGGCTGCGAGGAGCACTGCCGCATGCCCCGACGCCTCGCCCCTGTCCGAAGCACTGCAGCCCCACATGCTGAGACTTGTAGCCCTTCCGGACATGCAAATTTGGGCTTTTAGGCAGTGTTTCAAAAATGTTTCAATCCTTTGGCACCAAGAGAGCTCGAGGCGCCAGAGCGTTGCATCCTTTGTTCTGGAACGAACGCAGCATATCTTTTAGCAGCAGTCCCCGACGCCGCAGTACGCCGCGCACCTGTCCCGGCATTTGTCCAATGCCTCGGCAGCATCGGCTCCGGCCTCTCGCAGTTAGAAGCAAAAAAGTATTCTACCCGAGGACACAAGGGAGGCTTTCGGGAGGGAGGCTTCCATGCCCTGTTCCGGGTTGCTGCGGGGTGGACCCTGTATCACATGACACATGGAATTTCCCGACCCCAGAAACCATAGGAAAGCACACAGCAGTGCATTTTCTGAACTTTCTTCCCACGTTCCGACATGTTCCCACTTCGACTTCTCTGGGAGCCCTATGCCTCGACCAGCCACACAAGGCAGTCTAGGTGCCCGCTGGCTGCAGCCACTTCCAGGGGCCTTCAAGGGATGGAGCGGATATTGCATTTGGAGCCAGGAATGCGGGCAGAGAAACTAGAGAGGCTGAAGTAGGGTGCCCTATTGTGCACCTACAACATGTACAAACGGCTACAAGCAGCCAAAAACTTGTTCCATCTTGTTCCCACCGGGCACCCTCGGTTCTGGATGTCGCGCGTGGCCACCGCCACGCCATACGGGTCAGCGGCGAGGAAGCGCCTTTCACGGGAGCAAAGCCTTGCGAAACAACGCCCAACCAATGCTACAGTTTGGAACCGTCTGGCTTCATGCGATCTCAGGATTGCCATGGATTGCCTGTCATGTCCTCTTTTAGAGCCTCTCCTCAGAGTGGTGAGCGGAGGTCTCCTTGCCTGAGGTCCTCCAGTCGGCCCTCTCCGGCGGCTGTGCAGAGCGGCTCCAGCGGTCGGGAGCAGGTCGGCGAGCCCTGGAGGCCGACAACAAAAAGGGCACTCAAAGGGCACCGATCGCGTGACACTGCCTGCGTGCGTGCGTGCGTGCGTGCGCGTGCGTGCGTGCGTGCGTGCGTGCGTGCGTGTGTGCGTGCGTGTGTGTGTGTGTGTTGATTCCTGGGCTGCTTCTGTCTTTTTGCCCTGTAGTTTGCGCCTACTTTCTCGCTCTTCTCTTGGTTGCTTTTGCTTTCGGAGCGCCTTGGGCCGGATGAGGGGTCCAATGTCTGGGTGGTCCAGCAGAAGCCAGCCCAGGAGCCCAGTCCTCGGAAACTGTGGGCACAGGAGAGATTCTTCCCATACTCGAGAGAGGATACCCCAAGAAGGGGGGGGGCCATTCGGCATCTCTCTCTTCTCTTACATCGCCCACATCTCGCCTCGGCTCACGACAGCGCCGCCAGAGCCGCGTATCCTAAGTCAATGGGATGCGTAGCTCAGGAGCGTTTTCATGCTTTCTCGCACGCGCTGGAACGCCAAGAACTTCGTCGTTGTCCCCACCAAGTCTGGTGGAAGTCTGGAGGCAGAGTTGAGGTTTGCCGCTTTCCAAACATCCCAGCGGCATCCCAGCCGAAGAGCTCGACTTCAGCGCCTAGGCAATGGTCGCTACGTGGTGGGGCTGAGTTGCCAGGTAGCTGCTTGCAAAGAATTCGCTTACAATCGAAGTGGTGTTGGACTGGCGTTAGAGTGGTGGCTAGAGTTACAGTTAGAGTGTTGCGAAGCGGTTAGATGTTGCTGATGTCTCCCTGTTCCTGGCCCGACGCCTCGCCGCAGGGAGCTGACAGCTGCGGCACCCAGAGATGGACCCTCGCGCACCGCCACGCGCTCGGCCACCACCTGACTTGAGAAAAGCCCATCTTCATCTCCCACAAATGGTTCGATGAGCCAAGTCTGGCAGTTTGGGCATCCTGCCAAGGCACCTGATACCCCGCGCCAGGGCCCAGCGCTTCCACTGAAGCATCCTTGCAAGCTCCATGTCGGAGAGTGAAGAGGCCCAAGACAGGGCCACTTTCCGAATGACCCCATCCCGACGTCTTCCAGGCCTCCGTGACGGGCAGGAACATGCTCGGCACCTGGCTGGAGAGAAAAATATGAGATTTTACAGAGATACACGGATTCTGTCAGCATAAAGTTCCCAGCCATTTGTGATCACCCTTTGGCCTTCAGTGTACCCAGCCGTGGCTGGCTCTCCGCGATCAGTCTGCCCTCGGCATCTGAAGAAGGATTGTTGCAGGTTCGGAAGGAACTCGCTGCCTCTGCGTGACCCGTATACATGAACATTCGGCATGCCTCATCATCGGAATCCTCTCGCGGCGGTGCTGCGGGCAGCACCTGCAACAGTGTCAGCGTGGGATTCTGCGCTGAAAATCATGAGAACCCTGTCCCGGGGTCCATGGCCTTCAGGACTTGGGACCCGTCAACAGACACCTCGCGCGGGCCACTCTTCAGAAGGCCCCGTTGACTTCCAAGTTAAAGGCTGTGAAATGGTGCAGTTCCGAGGCTGGCACGGGTAAGTATCCTTGGCTGCACAGACAGAGAGAGAGCGAGCGAGAGAGAGAGAGAGAGAGAGCTCACTTTTTTTTTTTTCTCTCTCTCTCTCTCTATCTCTTGCTCTCTTTCTCTCTCTTTGCTCTCTCTTTGCTCTCTCTTTCTCTCTCTTTCTCTCTGTCTTTGTTTCTCAGTGCGCACGTACCCCTCCCTCTGTGAGGGCTGCCCAGAGGCCTCTCTTTCTCTCCTTCTCTCTTTTTCTTGTTTTTTCTCTCTCCCTCTCTCTCTCTCTGTCTCTCGCTCTCGTTCTTTCTTCCTTCCTTCCTTCCTTCCTTGCTTGCTTCCTTTCCCTTCCTTCCTTCCTTCCTTCCTTCCCTCCCTCCCTCCCTCCCTTCCTTCCTTTCTTCCTTCCTTCCTTCCAGCACACTTGCCCCCCCTGAGGAGGTACGTCCCAATCGGCGCGCTCCACAGGGTTTGTCGGTGTGTGTAGGTAGTGCTGGCACGGGCGGGCTCCCACTGAACCTCACGAGGACCCTTTACAGACCACACCCACGCACGCAAGGTCTCTGTAACTCTCTCTCTCTCTCTCTCTCTCTGTTTTCTCTCTTGTTCTCCCTGTTTTCTCTCTCTTTTGCTCTCTCTTCCTCTCTGCTCATCTTTGCTCGTTCCGAGGTTCTCCCGGGCTTCACCTTCAGCCACTGGCCCTCCTCGTCCAGGACGCCCCAGACCACGCTGCCCCAGCGGACCGACTTCAGTGCCTCGCGATCCGTGGAGAAGAAGCGAAAAGAGGAGGAATGCGTGGCGTCTTTAAAGTGGTCTCTTGAAGGAAGGTCTCTTAATGTTGGACTCGCTTTAGTACGTAGGGCCCCCCCCCCCCCCCAAAACAATTTTGGGGTTTTCGGGGATCCTGAATAGTGTGGGCTGGGGCTGGGACGGGGCTGGGGGTAGGGCGGCTAGGGGTCGAGGGTTGAGGGGAAGCCTTGAAGCTTGAGGGTCTAAGCTTTCCAGGCTTTGTAGCTCCACGGTCGCCGGGGCTCCGCATAAATGCGGACCACCGAAACAACTTGCTAAAGCGAATCAGGGCAGCTCGTGGGCTACTCCCTTGGAAAATTGTTTGGGGGCCTGTTTCGTAATGAAATTGTAAAAGGAATTTAAATAAGGCTGGACACCAAAAAATTCCGGAGTTTCTTATTCAAAACTGTTTTTAGTTTTTGGCTCCCCGGCCCCCCGCCCTTCAACCCCGGCCGGCAAACATCGCATAATTGAGGACCACCCTAAACAATGGGGGGTCCCCTATAGGATTTCCGGAACATCGCATAATAGTGCCCCTTCTCACTAAAGCCAGTCCAACATTAGTGGGGTGGTAGGTTTTCAGCTTTCACTGAACCTAACTGACCTAACTCACGGCTCGGTTTGCCGCTCTTGCTAAGCCCTTTATTCCGGGTGCGCCCTTTGCTGCCTGGTTCTTGTCCACGAGATCCCGGCCGCTGCGATAGCGCAGCCCGGCGCTGCGCGAGCCCAGCACACCTCAGCTGGGGCCTGGGGACATGTGGATGTGGCACCTGAGCCCGGAGAAGGGCAACAATGAGGAGAACTCTTTCGTGTGCCAAGTCTCTGTTGTCCACGAGGAAGGGCTCCAGCTGCCGCTTGGGGGTGCTCTCGATGGGAACCCCGGCCTCACCCAGCCCCAAAGTCCCAAGGCCATCTGATCACTGATGCTAATGAGGTCTGCAAGCTTTTTTGAGCACAAAACTTCGCTCATACGATCACACAAAGTTCGAAACACGCAAGGGAAGGTGACGGAGAGCTCGCATTTTCAGGGCCCCGGCCAAGACCAATCCGTCGGCACTCTCCTCCTTCTGCTTCTTTGCCCAGGCAGCAAACCGTGACATGGCGGCTCGGGATGGATCTTTGTGCTTACTTGGTGGATTGCTGGATGGGCATGGCTGTGCCTGAAACGCAGTGTGTCTGAGGAGTTCTATGGAGGTGACACCCGAGCTGCGCCGCTCCGCTTGGGGTGTGGCATGGTGTGGCTACAGGCTAAAGTTGGGCATCTTCTGGCCCATGACAGCCCCTGGAATTCATGGAGGGTTGGGCTACAAACTTTTGAGCCGAAGAGGACCCAGAAACACCACAGCACCAATTACCAACGCTCCTTCTTCGACCTGCGCCGCCATGTGCAACCATGTCCCTAAGATCCGACCTGATGGTCTCGTCATCGTCAAGCAAAGCTCGGCGGCGCAAGCCGTAGACAATCTTGCGCTGGGTGTCCATGACCTCAAGCTGTGGTGGGATGGGGGCGACAAAAAAGTCCCTGATCGTTTGGGCGTTGTAGATCTTGCAAGTCAAGTAAGTCAGACTGAGGCCCCGAACGTCATCGTACTCGAAGACGTTCTTGCGAACACTGTAGAAATAGTTTTCGACCTGCGCTTATTCCACATCATCTCGGTGCAGTTTACACAAAAAGCGGAGAAGCTGCCGTCGGGGCTCAGAAGTGCAAGGGAATCCCAAGCACAAAGAGCCCCAAAAGTCTCGCTTTTTGGACCGAGGCCCTGCTCGCTGGCACCGTCGGACGCCGACACTGTGTCGACCTGCTCAGGTTCGGGGCAGGTTCGGGGTATCCCATGGACTCATGGATGATGCTGTACCTGCACATGCATGGTTGTGGAGATCTAAGGGTTATGCATGTCAAAGTGTGTCGGAAGACAGACACCTCTTGGGAGAATCCTTACGAAGCAGCTTCAACGAGGATGGCTCCCGGGTTATTGTTCTGGCGAAAGTACCCCTCAGAAACATCCTTGTTAAATATCACACGGGATATTCTGCTAGACTGAGGCCAAGCCAGGTGTCCCGGTGGTTGTTCTTCATAGATCTGAAGAAGAGAAAGTTCTCTGATTTTGTTCTCGAAGTGGAGAATCTCGATTGTTGCTCCGAAAAAGGAAGTGAGACTAGGCTGCTTAACGTGTTTCACAAAGTCTGGTGCGTTTAACATGAGGAAGGCCTCTTTCATCTCTGTTGAGTGGACACATCTTGAAAAGATATGAAACCTTCTTGTTGTTTCAGAAGAATGAAAGGAAAATTCTCAGTCCGTATGAACTAGAGAAGTTCTCATCATGTTAAGACAAGGAAGCGCTGGGGCTGCCGAGGGTGCTTGAGCCTTCGTCGCAGATGTTTCGAGAGCTGTCGTTACGTTAAGCCGTGCTGACGAACATAATATGAAACCCTTTCAAATAGACCCTACTGAAGCCAGCAACCCTCCCACCCTCTGGCAATTCTGCTGCCTCAGCGGCGGCGGCGCAACCCATCATCCGGAGGAGGCGGCTCCGGCAGGGGCCCTGACAGACGTGAAGTTTGGAAGAGCTGTTACGCCGTGTGCCTCGACCTTCGGGCCATTCAGGATCCAACACCCTAAACCCCAAATTCCAAACGAAAAAACACAGCCCTCAGTCAGCCGGTCCTGACTCGAACATCCCAGGCCTTCGGTGGCCTCAGGCTGCTCGCTCTCTGGTGCAGCTGCGCGGGCTGCGCGGGGTGCCAAGATCCTGGGCCCCGTGACTGGAGGTGGGAGAGCCTGAGTTTGTGGAGTTTGGCGGAGGGCGTCTTAAGCAGCTCAGTCCCCTGAAGGCGTGTCGGCCTACAGGATGAGACAACGTTGCTCATACCACTTGTTGCTTGGGCAGACATGGAACCCATAGCCTGAAGGAAGCTTGCTGTCGCTCTGACCGGTGGCGAAGACTTCTGGGATCGTCTACACAAAAAGCCACGCAGCAAGCATGCAGAGCATGGTTTGCTCCTTTTTATATGAACTGGACTTGCAGAACGGGCGAGGCTGACGAAGGGAGGGCGAGTGTTCGAGAAAACTTCCTGTGCCTCTTGGAGGCAACGAGGAAGAATCGAATCAAAATGGTTGAGGTTGCTCTTGGACTTCCAGTGGATCTCCACGACCGTACGCTTTTAGGCCTCCTAGGCTTCTCAGCCTTCAAAACACAACATCGAACCTGAGCGAACAAGCTGTCCAGAGGCAAGGGCATCACAAGTGCTTTGAAAACCTGCCGATTGGGAAGCACTGCTGAAAGCTGCTACATGCACTTTGTAGACTGCGGGGTGCAGCGTGCTGAGCCAGAATCGGCTCCTACTGCAACTCTTCACATAGAGCTGGGCAGAACACACAGTAGCTCTGTTACCGCTGCTACCACTGTCACCCTCGCACTGCAAAGAACGGAGCCCTCAGAAGCCACAACTCTCGACGCTCTGCGCGCTTCTTGAGCACATGGCGAGAGCAGTTGCCAGAGGCGTGCGAGCTTCTGAAGGCTTCAGCCTCTGTCATCCCTGCGGGGTCACGTCTAGGGTCGTGCATGGATGTATAGGATGCCAAGAACCAGCCCAGACAGAAAGTGACCTTTGCCGTTGGGATGGACTCCCGGGATGTACCCGTGCACTCCTTAAACTGTCATATGTGCGATCCGGCTCTTGTGCCGGGGTTTTGGCACCATGACAAGATCGCCAAGCCCGCTCGTGGCCTCTTGGGTTGCCAAGGCCACTGGTAGCCGCAGCATCATGCTCGGGCTCCGCCCAAGACCCAATGAAGCCGTGACTTTGTTTTCCCACATCAGGCAAAGAACTCTTGGCCTTGGGAAGCCCTAGTTACTCACGATATCTCACAATCATACACTTGGTGAATCACTGTGCAAAGACTTGACGAGAACTTGCGGCTACTGAAAGACCTGGTGGAGGGCAAGACTTATGTCAACTTATGTCATGTCCCAGGAGTCTTGTTCCTCTTATCCTTCATTTATCGAATATTTCTTTGTGCTCAGAACCCTTGAAGAACCAAGCTCTCCGAGCTGGTGTTCTTGCCCGCGGCCAGGTAGAAATCTACGCAGCACCAAGTTCCTTGAGCTCGGAGCGTGCGCTCGCCAGCCTTAGTTCGAGGTAGGGTTACAAGCATTGAACGAGGGGGGTTAGAAGGGCGGAGAAGGGGGGTAAAAGGGGGGCTGTGGCCGGCTGGAGTTTCTTAGCCAATCGTGTTCTAGGAGTGAACACCATGGCTCGGTTAGGGCGACCACATGCAACAAGGTGTTTCGGCTGCCCAGTGACTCGAAGTGGGTGTCACCTTCAACTCCACACCTTCAGCGCATTCTTGCGACGAGAGGAAAGGAAAGACAAGATGCCATCTTTAGAGCAAGGACTCGACTCCCCATTGCGATTGAAGGTCAATCGGGGGCAGGCGCGGCATGCGATTGTTCCCAAAAGACCACACCACAGCAGTTACAAGCTGAAAGCCTGCACTTCAAGGCCGAAGGCTCAAAATGCCCGACCTTAGTGGCCTTTACCCATAAAGACAAAGCCGCACAGCAGGGAGCACTTCCTGCAACTCCTGCAGCTGATTGGTCAGATCCTGCAAAAAGGAGGACTTCAGCCGTAATCCCTTCAGCAATTGTGGGTTTGCTGCTCATTCAAAGCAAAGCTCGGCGCTAATCATACCTAACTGCACTGCAACATTTACGGCGTCGCTCCTACAAAAAGGCTTCCTTCGCGCAGGATTAGCAGATAGAACATGGTCTGCGAGTAGGCTGTCGAAGCTGTAGGTCAAGCTGCGCTTCTCGACTAAGACGCTTTCAGATGGAGCGTCTTGCACGTTGAAGCCCCAGCGAGTCCCTCCCATCAGCACCCCTTCCTGCCTTTGTCCTTTAAGAACCTGGATAGTGAAAGCAGCAGTACGCTGCACAGATACAAAAAAGGAGAGCTGGCCTGGATAGAGGGTTCGTCCTGCAACTTGATGATGCGATGGTGGAAGCCTGAACGAAGTACTGAGATTTCTCGCACTGACCCCTCGGCCGATAAGCCGACAAGTACTGGGACTGTGATGTACAAATGAAGGCGTGCTTCAAGTCTCAATAACATCAGCGCTTCCCCCTCGCCCACGTTGGCTTCATCTGGGCGGAGATGAAAACAACCCATCACCACGGTTTTGTACCCGGGCGCCGTGCTTGATTTGGGCTTCGAAGCCAGGAACAGAAGACTATGGTTTTTCTGGGAAAACCTGAAAAGACCCCGTCCTTCATCTCACAATGGGGGGTCGGGCACGGCTCTATGCAAGAGGAAAGGGTCTCTTGGTGTTGAGCTCATTGTCTTTTCTCAAGATCTTTGACCACCCATGTCATTCCCATAGGCAAAGGAAAGCATTCCTTTGAAGCAACAAAAGCCAATACGCAAGAAACACTGTCACGCATATCTGAAAAGATGAAGCTCCAATGGGTGCTTCAGAAGGCGGGATCAAAATTCGGACCCCCATCTGTGTAAGCCACCGAACAAAAGCGAAGAATAAAGTCCTACACTCCTTCACAAATTCTTTGTACATCACATGCGAAAAAGACTGTCTGAAATCTCAGACAAGCTGGTTAAGACCTCTGCCATACGTTGTTGAAGGGTTTCTCAGTCGAGCTGACGATGCACAACAAGTCATGGCACATGTACATGTCTTGTTTCTCATATACTGAAAATACTGTTACTGGAAGCTTACAATTTAAAAAGGCGTTGAAAAGCCTGAAGCTGCCAACTCCCGACTGCGTAAACAGCAAGCTGCTCATGCAAAAAACACCCTTACAGTGCGAAAGGCTCCCCGAACCGTCTCAACTTTCCCGACTGTACCTTGATCTCGGCACCAGACCTCGAGAGCGAATGCGAACACACCACTCCATGCCGCGCCTTCTCTCACTGCCCCTCAACACCTCTCAACATCCTCAGGGACAAGGATTGTCCATGTAGAGTTCTCTGTCTTGCTCGCATTGCTGAAGCTCGTCAAGGGCCCGTTTAATCCTGGAAGGGGTTGCGTCCATTCCTTCACCTCTTCAAAAATGCCTTTGGCTCACTGCCTCTGATGTGAGGAACGGGAGGCTTGTTGCAGCCTCTTGAGCTGCTTTTATAGTGTAGCACTCTTAAGGTAAGCTCCAGCAATGATTTTTTTGAAGCCTTTTTTCTATGGGTGTGTGCATCCCTTCCATCGAAGGTCCACTTGAGGTCAGCACCAGATCTGTCGCAGCTTCAGCCTCCAGAGAATGTTCCTACTTTTCTGACGGTGCGCTCTATATATATACATATTTATTTATGTTTTATATTTATGTATTTCTATATAGAAATGTAGATATATACGTATTCAGTACAAACAATTTACAGCCAGCCGAATGCAGCTCTACGGCGCATAGAGATGCTCTGTTTCCACAGAAATGGAAAGAGACTCCATGATCCCACGATCCACAGCTTCAAGGCCCACCTCAACCTGGGAGTCGCCAACAGAGACAAAAACGATCTCGGAGGCGGACCGCATTCTACCTGCAGCGGGTCGTCTTGTGGCACGAGCTATGATCGTTCCGGCCAAATGTCGAGCCCCGGGTCCAAAAGGAACTGCACTACTCGTTTGGTCCAATCAGGGGCATCGGAAACCTCGCCTGCCAGCTGCTTCAAAGCCTGCAGTTGACTGATTGAGTCATTGCGTGGCTGCGTGCGGTTTCCAGGTTTTTTTCCAGTCGGAGCTTCAGAGGTGCACAGAAAGACTGCATGTTGAAGGTGTTAGAACATGTGCGTTCCTTCAGGTCTGTTTCAAAGCGGCCCCACCTGACTCATGGCCTTCCGCTTGCACTGAACGTAGAGGTCCACTCCCGGCTCCTGCTGCTACATTTGCCACACTTTTGCTTCTCTTGAGGCTTCAGCTTGCAGAAGAACCGGAAGCAACCGCAAGCAACAAGAGCCTCTGAGCAAGGGAGTGCGATAATCAGTGTGAACTCCAAAGAGAACAATTCTTAAAACAGCCGAGCCTGTGATGCTGCCATCATTCGGTACTTGTCCAGCACCTGTACCACGGTTGACTCGGATGCTGAGAGGTTGCCATCTTCGATTCACCGGGCGTTTAGCACTCCGTCGATGGTCAATGAGTGGCTTCAAAAAGGGCGAGGAACCATTTTGGGCTTCTTTTTCGCGTTATGCATTTTATTTCCAGAGGAAATAGAGGGTTTCCTCTGAAAGGCACAGAAGATATTGGCTTTCCGTAAAAAAACACAGATGAAAGAGGTTTTCCTCTGACTAGAGGATTTCCTATGAATATATACGAGGAATCAGACATTTCCCGTTAACAAATAGCAGCTTTAGAAGAAACAGGTTCCCATTTAAGTATGAAGGACATAGAAGTTTTCATGGCATGGTCTATATAAAGCAAGCTTGCAAGAAAGAAATAGAAACACAAGCGGAAGCGGGGCGGTGGGGCTGGAGGGGGCGGGGGGGGGAGGGGGGGTGGGAGCAGACCCCAGACAAAATGCTCGCATGACTGGTTTGCAACAAGAATGCGCATGTGCTCTTAGCGCATTCTTAACGCAAGCTTTTTTAAGCGAACTTGCAGGGCTTCCAATACATGTTTCTTTGTTTATGTCGTAGTTATTTCTGTCTTTCTTTCCGTGGTTGCTCAGAACTTCTTTCGTTGTGCATTTCTTCCGGCTTTCTTTCTTTCATTCTTTGCTTCTGTCGTTCTTTCTCTACTTCTTGTTTAAAAGGAAAACTCTATTTCCTGTGTGTTTTAATCGAGAAACCTCCTTTTCCTGTGTTTGCATAGGCAAAGCTCCATGTCATCTACGCGTTAATCGGAACAGCTTTTTTCCTCCGCTTTGTAAAAGGAAACCCCAGACCAAAACACCGGCTACATAACGCGAAAATAGTACAAATTACTTACGGGGCCCTACAAGAAATTACAACTGCCAAGGCAACAAACGCGTCCGTACCGGAATCGAAGAGAAGCTGCGTTGTGGCGATGCTGCGTATGAAGGTCTTGGTACGGTACGGTGCTAGATTTGCCAAGTCCAGCCTCTCGCGCGTACACTATCGGGATGTCCAATTCGTGAAACAGCTTCTCCCAGTTCACACCTGTGCACGGAGCCGAAGCACATGTCTCAGATGCCGGATCTGTTGCGTCTGACGCAGTCTGCCTCATAAGAAGTGAATCTTGGCTGGCTTCGAGCTGTGGCAGCTATGGCTATGGCTCTTGCCCTCCTCTCGGCTTCGGGCTGGGCATATATCTCTTGGCGGAGATCTGGAGCCAGGGCCGCCTGGGCTCGAAAGAGGTACTCAGTGCTACAAAGCTCCTCTAAGGCTTGGAGACGTCTCCTTCTTCAGAGCGTCTCTGCCTCTCTCTCTGACATTGCGACATGGGATGAATCACGAAAAACAGTGCTTCGCAGTGTCTTGCTTGCCGTCTCTCATATAATCATTGCCCAAAGCCAGAAAACTGGAACCTAGCGCAGCCTGGGCCATGCTGACCTGGATGAACCTTTCAAGATCTTCTAACTCCCGCCGAGCGACGCAGCCAAGGTGACCTGAGATTCAACAAGGCCCCAACAACCCAAGAATGCCTCCCTGCAACATCTCCCCCCCAAAAAAAACTAAACCCTAAACCCTAAACCCTAAACCCTAAACCCTAAACCCTAAACCCTAAACCCTAAACCCTCCCAACCCCCCCCCAAAAAAAAAAAAAAACTGAGACGCTTCTTCTTGAACTCCGAGAAGCGATGCCCACACGGCCGATGGAGGAGGCAAGCCGGAGGGTCTTGCTGACAAGCTGGGCGTGGGCCTCCAGTGCCTGGGCCGCCGCTGGAACAGATCGCCATTAAAAAAAATTAGATACATGTGTATATATATATATATATATATATATATATGTTTTTGATATGTATTTATTTGAATTTGCGCATACATCTATATGTAGCTAGTGTATACCATATACTGTTCTTCCTGGCTTTAGACACAGCCCCCACCCACCCAATCTGGTTCTTGAGGCAGAGCTATAGACTCAGTCACTGGCCGGCCGCTGCTCGTCGCTAGGCTCAGCGCGCATGTCGGCAGTGCAGGCCTTATAACATCAAGTCTGCTTGAGTCGTTTCCTTTGCCTTTGCCCTTTGCATTGTCGGACTCTGTATGGCCGCGACAGTGGTTGGGAGCAATGTGTCATCCCAGTCAAAGATGAGCACCGTCCCTGCGCAACAAGTTGAAGATCGAAGCGTGGAGCTGCGGCGTAAGGACGGAAAGGAAGTAACGGAAAGAACAGAAGGAAGATTGAAGAAAGCATGAAGAAAGTAGAAAGCATCAAGACACCAACTGACTTGCGGTTAAACTGCTGAACTGTTTCACTTGGTGCAGCCGGGAAGCTCGCCCCTTGCTCCTCAGAATCGTCCTTGTCGTTCATGAAGCCATCGGGCTTCAAAGAGCTGGCCCACGGCGTGGACTCGTCGAGTTCTGCACACCGGGGAGGTATGAGAAGAGGCTTCCCCAATGCCCAACACCGGACCACCAGCAGGACATAAACTTATACTTGTAAGGTTTCGAGCCCGGAACCTTCCAAGATGCGCTCGGAAATCTCCTCGGCTAGAGGTGCCAACCAGCTCATGAGTCATGAAAAACTCTCGGCAGTCCACGCTTGCTCATCTCCCACCCCCCCCAAGCACTTGACCGTGATCTTGAAATTGCTGGTTCCTGAACCTTTCTATACCTTCTTGAGGAAAAACAACCTCGCGGGAGCAAGAGCACACCAAGAGCACAGTGAGAGCACACTAGGAGCACACAAAGAGCACGAAGAAGTCCAAGGCACGACACTCAGCCGGCGCCCGATGCCCTTAAGGCTGGGCTTCGGCCTGAGGCATGTCACCCTTCTTGAAAGTTGTGCTTTTGATGTGATCTCTGTGATCTCTCTCCTTGCTGCTTGCTCTCTCAATCCTTTTCCATCTCTCGCTTTGGCTCTTCGAGTACCACTCTGAGTCCTATCAGCGGCTGCGGTCAAAAGCCGCAGTCAAGTCGGCGACTGATTATTGGAGTATGTCGCCGAAGAGTGCAGTGAGCCAAGCGCAGTCAGGGTGCTTGTGCATCATGGACGGCCTCCTTGTATACAGCTTTGGATGACCTGAAGGGAGAGCACACAGAGCATGAGCGACCAGGGCACAGCCGAACTGATACTGTAGTAACGAAAAAACCTAAAGGTCGCAAGTCGCAGGTGGAGGCTCAATTCAGCTACACCACTACTTTCAGAGCTTTCAGAGAGTTTGCCGCAAGCTGTGCGAATCTGTGCGAGATCTCAATTCTAGGGGTCCGGTGTGGAAGGCGGGATCCAGTGCTGACACAGAAGGGGGCAACTCAGTGTGCGGCTCGGTCTCTTGTCCATGGAAAAGCCACCTGAGTTGGCAACTCGCGGCAAGAGCTCAGCCCATAGAACGCCATGGAGGCTATGGCTAGAAGATTGCTGGAAGAGCTTACCGATGGCCAAGCCAACACACAAAGTGGCAACGCAGTCCCAAACCAGCCCAAGACCTCAAATGAATGCCAAGCTACTCGCAGCTTCCGAGCCGACTCCGAAGCTGGCGCTCATCTGGCGGAGATGCGCTTGGGAGCGCGTTCTTTGGGGGGATTTTCTGAGCATCTTTGTGGATTCTTCAAGTTGTGCTCTTCATGTCATTGTGCTTCCATCAGATTTTCCCATTCCGAGTCCCCTCCGCCTCGGACTCGACGGAGACCTGCCACTGCGGAGGCAATGGTGATACTCGTAGCCATAAAGAGGTGACCAGTCTTTCTCCAAGCAGTCAGCGCAGCACAGGGCTCGCTTTTCTCTCTCTCTCTCTCTCTCTCTCTCTCTCTCGTCTTGCCGACGGTTCGATCTCAACGACCACTCTTTGACTAAGGCAACTAAGGCTCACTAAATGTCACGAGTCACCAGTCGGCCTCTTCATCTAGGTGCTTATCAGCATCCGGTCTTCCGGAAACCCTCCCTCGAAAACTTTGGATCCACAACTCCCTGCTTGCATACAGCTTCTCCACGTGTAGGACATCGACACTCACAGCCGCAGACTCGCTCTAAGATGTCACAAATGGCTTGCACTCGCATGATCTCACGAAGTGGCGAAACAGATGCCACAAAACGTGCATACTTCTCTTTCGCGAATGACTGCGTCCGCGCTGTCAATGAGTGGCATCGGTCGCCGGAGTCTGCACCTTGCCGTAGATCCGACATGGCTGGAAGTCAACATCGGGGAGGCGAACCCAGGCGAACCAAGTCTGCAGTGACCGGTGTGGAGCAGCAACGCCCAAGTGGGGATGTCTAACGAATCGGCTAATTTCGATGCCTCCAAGCTCAAACGGCTGCGCAGAATGGACATTCAACGCGCGCTCGAGACGGGCCTGCCGCCCCATCGTCGACCCGGACCCGCGTAAGTCCGCATTGAGGTCCATAGGCAAGTCCAGCTCCTGGCTTCTCAAAGGACAGTCCCAGCTGACGGTGTGTTGGTGCTCTTGGCAAATAGCAGCAACAGCAGCGAAAGCAGCACAAGCATAGCCGTTTATGCGAGGCTGAGGTGAGCGAGCCTCTTGCGCAGGCGGCGCCTCCGTCAAACTGTCGCTCGCAGAGCCACCTCATGAATCGGACAACATCATGCAACACTCAGCGGCAAGAGCTTAAAGTGAGAGCATCGAGCCAGAACAGAACAACTACGAGGCCTGGTTCGACAGTCCTACGAATAAATGGCGTGATGCCCAGAGTACCACTTCGACATAATAGAACCCTCTCGAGCAATCAGTCCCACTGCATCCCTCTGTCAACATGGATGGTGGCCGCCTCGCAACTGCCCCAACTGTCCCAACTGCGTTGCGGCCCAAGGCACCTTTTGACTCACCGTCGTGGATCCCACACAGCCACTCTATGAATGCTACCTGATTTCAGGGTTAAGGCTAAACATGGGCTTGGGAGGGGCCAACCAGATAGGTCCTCGAGGCCATCTGTGACCCACCACCAAGAGACTTGTCACAACGACGCACAAAGCTCCCCTTGGAGCCAGCTTTCGTGATTTAAGGGTGGAAGTCGCCTCGCTCTGACATCCCAAAGTCCCTCCCAAAAGCACTTGAAAGAAGTGGCATGGAGGTGCTCGTGGGGCTCGTCTTCGCGGATGCCTGTCCTGAAACGCTTGCTAAATCTAAGAAGGACGCGCGAATCAACGAGCTCCCCGAGCCGGAAGGAGACTTTGTTATAGGTGCCAAGAAGCGCTTCACGAAACAGACTGACCACTCGCCGAGCCTTGGGACAGCGCACGGATGAGCATGGCAAAGAAGCCCTCCCTTTTTTCGAAGCAAAATGTTCAGCCTGGAACTCTTTTAACACTACATGCAAGCAAGAGCCAGGAGCTCAAAAGCGCTCTATAGAACTCTAGCTGGGAGTTCAAGGCCGCCGTTTTCCTGTGTTTCGTGTCCTTGCTGGCGAGCAGCGCCACCAGGCTCCAGGCCAAGGCTCGTCAGCACTTCCGCCAGATGTCGGGGCCTGCACAAGAGCATGCTACAAGCATGCTACAAGCATGCTAAAAGCATGCTAAAAGCATGCTAAAAGCATGCTAAAAGCATGCTAAAAGCATGATTTTGTGCATCGTGAGCAGAGCGCCACACGGCATCACAAGGACCACAACCAGCCCTGCACGAGCTCTCGGAGGCTAGATTTGTCCAAGACATGCTTACATTCAAATCGGGAACGCAGCGACAAACACCCTGATTCTATCATCTAGGCATACCAAAGACCCGTGGACGCCACTGGGCGAAAACAAGCACCCCGTCGGTCCTTAAGCCCCCTTGCAGCTCTCCATCAAGTTGGCGCAAGAGCCTGAGCTGCTTTGCAACTACGCATGATCCCTGCCCCCAATAATTACTGGGCCGAAGGCGCTCCAAAGATTCGGGGGAATCGCCTCTTTAAAGCCTGAGCCCAACACCCTCAACCCTAACTCAACCCCAAGCCCCAATTCGACGGGGGTCTGAAAGGGTGGGGCCTGAGAGCGGAATTTTGGGATTTTTCCTGCAAAGCTCTGAAAATCTAACTCAGCCATTCTCCTCGCCCGGGTCTCCCGTACTCCACTCCTCGGCCCTCGGGGCATCAACTGGACAGCCCGCCCCATATATAGAATCCCGCGAGGGTATTTCCGGAGCAGAGAGCATTGCTGGAGTGCCCAGCTTGGCTGGGGGCGTTTGAAGTAACAAACTTGAATTCGAGGGCTTTTTGTTTGAAGGGAGCGGGTTCGACTGGCTTCAGGGCCTTCTTCGTCAAACTCTCGGAACCTCTGTGCACATCCTCTGAGAGCTCTTACATGAACCTGGCTTCCACCGGCATGACTTGCTGAACGTGGGGCAGGGGGAGGGCCCTGGTATCTATCAGCTTTCGAAGAGACCTGTCATGGTCATGTGCAGTGCTTTCTCCAGGCCACTCCAGCACCCGCTGCTGCCGGCCGCTCTCCATTGGAGGGACGGATTGAAAAAGACAGCGAGGCACAGGGAGGCAATACATTCTAGGATATGTTTATGGTGTTCGAAGCTGCGTGGTATGTGTGGTATGGCTGGGCTGTGTTGGTTTGGGCCACTTGGACCCTGAAGTTCGGCGGCCCTACACCCGAGAACCAGCCTGTGATTGCACCATACTCTGATGTTGGACATGAGAGACTGCCCATGGTCTTGCAGTGAGCCAAAGCATCGGAGAATGCCGGCGTCAGCACGATAGCGCGCGAAAGGTGAAGACAGTAGACTCCGCAGATGCTTCTGACAAGCACAAGGATTCCACCAGCTTAAGACCAGGACGACCTGAGCGCACACAGGATGATGATGGCCATCACGTGCGCCTTAATTTTTCGCAACGAGTGCGAACAGGTGTGGGAGAGGTCGAAACCACCGGACTGATACATACGTATGTATGTCATGAAACTACTATAGGCGTGCTCGAGATTGAAGCCACTGCTTTTTGATTGGTCCGGGATCACAAAAAATCGGCCCTGCGAAGATGACAAGATCCGTCCAGTTGCCTATTTGTATCTTGTTTGACTCAGCCGACGGTGCAGCAGCTGACTCAAAACTCGGAGCTGCAGACTCGTCCGGACACACTGCTTCGCCACATCGAAGGAAAAAACATTTTGAAATTGCCATGAACTTCATGAAGCATACTCACTCGTGGAGTACAAACACCAAAGAGTCTACGCGCTTGGAGCGACACATGTGGCAACCTCAATCTCTGCGCATGAGACGGTTTGTCTCGGGCCTCCCTGCCGCGCATCTCACTCCCAGATATGATGGCAAACTTGGGCTTTGCCCTGTTTTGAGCTTCATGCAAGAAAACTACCCCGAAGCTCCGCACCCGCGTTTCCTCGGCCTTTGGGGGGAACCTTGGCAGAAGATTCGGCTTCATCGGCGATGGAAGTTGGACTGCTCGCTGCGGCCAAGCCAAAGCTATGGCCATCCTTCTGTTCCATCCGGGTCGGAGTCTTCTGCGTTGCCTGGTGCTCTGTACAAGGGAAGAACCTGACTCGGTAGAAGGAGGATAGATGGCTTGCTTCTCCGAGAACCAAAAAATTTGGAGAAGTCAGCATGCATGCCCTCCTGACATTTCACGTTCCCAGTAAGCATCCCTGGGTTTTCCAGCGTACAAAGACTTCGGAGGTTCGCATAGCGGCGCCTTACACGATCACAGAGCTAGGCGACACCTCTGCCACATTCTCTGTGAGGCTATCCGAGGTCCTTATGCATGCACGCCTTAATGCACGGAATGGCCGGCAAACGGTTGCAACCTTCGCCGTTGTTCCCAGCCTCTTCGGGCATGCTGCTCGTCATGGCTATCACGCTGCTTGTCATGCTCAACTTCTTCGGGCAAGCACGTATCGGCCTCATCCGGATTGCCGGGCCAGCTTCTTTCTATCGAACACTCAGCATTCGAAAGCAGGCCAGCACGACGAGCCTCGACTTGTCGCTGAGTCGAGGCACTCGTAGCAGTTTCTCCCCCCACCTCTTCCTTCTAACACTTCTGCGATCGGGCCTCGGGGCATCCTGGCTTGAGTTTCACATCTTTGGCTTGGCATGTCAAGGACTACGAGCCCTCTTCGTCAACTTGAATCAGGGCCCATGCCTGGAACTCCCTCTCAACTGAGTAAACTTTCCTGACTCCGAGCCCACTGCGAGCAGGATGTGGAAGCGAACATCGTTGAAAACGGACGCTGCGATCACCTCCAAGCGGATTTTATTGGGCAGTACTTTTTCCAGCTCTCTCTTGGAAACGGTTGAAGAGATGTTGAAGAGGCTCTGCACTGGGGAGTCCTAGGGTTCTCAGAGCCAAAGCTGCCGGCTTCCTCCAAAACTCCGATGAGTAGGCGCAAAGAAACCCGCTGAATCTCGAGTGTGGCTGGCTTGTTGGTGGCACCTCCTGGTGGCCCTCTCCCCCCCCCAAACCAGAGCCCCCCCTGGAGTCGGACCCTATCATGGTTTGGCATGTTTCTGCCTCAGTTACCTGGCATGCCATCAGCGGATGAGCCCCCCTTTTGCATAAAGAATCACCTGTGACCTCACATGACCTCGGATTTCCGATTCACAAGCATGCTTGGTGGCCTCAGAGTTCGGCAGGTCGACCTTGGCTCCGAAAGGACAGCTCTCACCGCAGCTTGTGCAGCTCTCTTAACATTGAAGCCAAAGGAACTTGCCGATTGCCAATACACGACCATGAAGAACTCATAAACCCGTAAAGGCTCGAAGCACAATGTGTCCTTCCGACAGCAGCTTGCCCCTCTTGTTATGCCCACTCTGGGCATTCGCATTCTTGTCTGCCTTTGTTGCAACCCCAGTCGCAAGGAGGTGTTGCAGGCTTAGCGCGCAGGTCATGATGGTGATCGGAGTGTGGACACCACCTGCAAAGATCATCCACATAGAATGGAGCTTGTCTTGGTTCTGCATTCCTGCTGTCCCGAAGTCTGAACCAGGATCCTCGAAAGCAAAATTCGCAGATCCTTCGCCTCGCCTGGATCTGCAGAAGCGCTTTGTATGTAGTGCCGCCGCGCCAGCGACAGATCTTGCCTGTGCTGCGCCCTCTTAGATGGTCATGCCTAGAGCAGAGATCCGACTTGAGAAGGGGCTACGAAAGCTAGTCACCGCAGGGGGGTGGCATGCAGCGAGTCGGTTGAGTCCATGTAGAGACTCAACCGGTTAGTCAGGTAAGATCGAAGACCCCTAAACTCGAAATCTGAAGCCCTAAACTCCTTCAGCCCCCTTGCTTCGCCCGCTGGAACCCCGTGTCGCAAACGAAGTTTAGGTACAGGGACGCTCTGTTCAGTACGACCTCTGCAAAGTACCACAGACCTTCAGAGCATGGTGACTGTGGGGGGCGGGGGAGGACCTTGGGGTGGGGTGGGGGGGGACCTTGTGGGGGGGGGGGGGACCTGAAGGTGGTAGGGGGGGGGCCCCCCCCCCTACCTTATCCCACACGCAACCACCTTAAAGGAGGGGGGGGGGGGGGGGGGTCGGCACCTTATCCTTTCGAAAATGCTTCATGGTGAGGTGAGGGGGGGGGGGGCCCCCCCCCCCCACCCCCACCTTAAGTCTTGGGTTTCGGACCTGTTAAGGTGTGGAACCCTTTTTTCCCTGGAAGCTTCTTAACAAGGTGAATACCAGTGCATGGGTAAACGACAACTCCCGCCAGCTCCACAGAGCTAGCTTTCGTGACTTTCAAATCATGTCATAACTCATCGCCTAAAGCCGCTCAAATCACAGGCCCCTGGCTCATACCGAGTTCCCAAGTTGTCAGGGTTCCAAAGCACAGGCTCAGCACAGGCTCAGCTCTTGCGGTCCTAGCCGCATCACTCCGATACCGAACTGATGCATGTAGCCTGGGGATCGAGCACGCATTCTCTTGCATTCTACCGTATGCCGCCCTACAGTGTCCACGCCGGGTGAAATCTTGTCATCTGAGACTTACCATTGGAATTGGCACAGCCACACACACCAGCTTGTGGGGTCCCTAAAACGACAGTGATTTGAAGAAGGGCTCTGTCTCGAAGCCGTTTCCCACATTCCAAGCACCGAGCCCAGGTTGAAGTGGGCCCTTGCCACATAGGGCCTCTCAGCGTGCAGCACATCGCACCGCATCATACCGCATCTCATCTCAGCGCATCGCAGCACATCATCGCAGCACTTGAAATGCATCCACTTCAGTGGAGATTTTGAGTCCGCTGCAGGCCCTGATGAACTACGCTGCTGGATCTTACGTGCCATCCCCTGAAACAGCCGGAGGCACTGCATCCACTCACCGGCGATGCGCATCGTGGCCGTCCGCCTCCACATGTTGCAGCAGGTCTTGATGCTGAAAGGGGTTGAAGTTCCGGTCACGTCTCGATGCCCGCAACTCTCTCCAAGTGCGCATGCTGTTGCAGTTGGGCTTTCACAAAATAGGACATTGCAGCCGAGCTGGACACTGATGGAACCACTGTGCATTACTCATGCGAATTCCATGACCTTTGCCTGGACTTCGAATCCTGGAAAAGTCAACCCCTCCTTCAAGGGGACGCCGCAACTGCTCAACACAGCTGCAGCACAAAACATCTCCCCTCGCCCGCCCCTTCCCTCACCATGCGCCTGTAGTGCGCCAATGACAGGTCGATGTCTGACTCCTCCAGGCTTGGGACTTGATGAGTGGTGTTGAAGTTATTTCGATGTTCAGCCTTGTCGTCTCGGTTGTGGTCGCAAATTTTTCTCTTGCCAAAGGCAACAAAAAGGAACCAACGTCGAAATCCCTGCACCAAGTAGCACGAATCTGCATCAACTTGCACAGCATCCTGAGAACGCAGTGCACAGCACAGCAGCCTCACGTAATAACAAGGTTTGATATGGCTATTGCACACGGTTGTCAGTGTCTCGCTTCATCCCTAATTAACACCAAGGTTGAGTCCCTCTGGCCCCATGCATGCTCAGGCCGCACCACGTGCAAGTACATGAGGCCACGAGTACTTGCACCTCAGCAAAACCCATCCAAAACGACGATAGTTTCGCCCTTCGCGCGTCTCGTGAGCCCAGCTGTCCAAAAGCAACGACCGGTTCGCATCTGGCGAGCCCAGACGTCCAGAAGCGATGACAATGTTGCGTTTCGTGAGCCCGAAGTCCGAAATCATGATGGCAGTTTCTAAGACGGCGAGCACAGCCATCCTAGGCGAGAGTGCGATGTGCGTCCAAAATGCGTGCAAGCCAGATGAGAGTAGGTCAAATCAGATCGACAGAACTTCGCGATCTGAGTTTCTGGAGCCAGCAGAGAACTCTCAGAGACTGGCCCACACTCTGATCTGATCTCTAATTAAGCTGACCAAAAAATTCAACTGCTCTGACGTGACGTGGTGCGCGTACAGGTGGCTTTATGTACTTGGTACCTGCACCTGGAACGGCCTCGAAATCCTAACCCTAAAAATAATCAAGCGCCTACAAACCCTAAACCCTAGAACAACCGAGAACCCTCAAACCCTGAAATCTCAAACCAACTTGAAGAACTCTAAAGCCTTTAGGGCATGAAACCAACAACATAATCAAAAGCCTGCAAACCCTAGACCCGAAACCCTAAAAATCCTGCAAAGGCACCCGAAAAACAATCTAACTAAGAAAACAGAGTGCACCCTAAACACGTTTATAAACCCATAAAACTCTCAAACCCTGATCACACATAAAATCCTGCAAATCCCTCACCGCAATAAACACCTAGCAAGAAACCCTGAGAACCCGAAAAAATCAAGCAACATAACAAAATGCAAAGCCTGCACACGCCAAACCGCACAAAGACCCCCAAGCACGAGGTTCAGGGTACTTACGAACCAATAATGGCTGTACTCATAACTGTACTTATAGCTGTTTTGGGGCACTTAAGGGGCCTATAAGTGGGTTATAAGTACAGCTGTAATCGGTGAATAAGGGCCATGAAGCCCCAAGTACTGCGATCCTGGTTCTTTAGAGCTCTCGGAGCCGTCCTGTGGCACCAGCTGCCAGGTGCTGCTGGCCGCCCTGAGGCGCCAGGGAGGTTTGCCCCAGACTCTGCACCTAAAACCCTAAAACCCTAAACCCTAAAACCCTAAGACCCTAAAACCCCAAAACCCCAAAACCCCAAAACCCCAAAACCCCAAAACCCCAAAACCCCAAAACCCCAAAACCCCAAAACCCCAAAACCCCAAAACCCGAATCCCTGAAACCGTAAAACCCCGAAACCCTAAAACCCTAAAACCACCCTAAAACCCTAAAACCACCCTAAAACCACCCTAAAAACCCTAAAAACCCTAAAACCCTAAAACCACCCCAAAACCCTAAGACCCTCAAACCCTGAAACCCGAAAGCCCTAAGCAACGGAGAGGCGAAGGAGAAAGAGCGGAGGCCAGAAAGCGCAGCACTTTTGTCTCTGCCCGGGGCCCTGGCTCCTCGGCTTCCTTGGCGGGCTCCTTCGAAGCGGCTGGGCATCACGGCACCGCAAAAACGGGGCCTTCATGATAGTAGGCTTTAGGGTTTAGGGTCTTCATGATAGTAGGCTTTAGGGTTTAGGGTTTAGGGGTTGGGGGTTTAGGGTTTAAGGTCGAGGGTGTAGGGCTTACGGCTTCAGAATGTCTCTGATGACATTCTGAACTGTTGCAACCCACAACTAGAGCTTCTTTGTGCCTTGCTTTGCGGCTCAGACACCACGCGGCAGTCCTCCTCAAACTCGGCCACAGCAGCGCTGCTGTGGAGGCGAAAGCCCCAACCTGGCCATTTGGGGTACTTTGCAAGAACAAGAACCTCTGCAAAACAAACAACAACTTTGCAACACTCTGGCTGGCCGTAGTAAGCGAAATCACCGAGCCGCAGCTCCTGAAAGGATCACAATCGAAAAGGGGTAGGGAAGTGTAGCTTGCGACTTCAGAGATGAAGGGCAAATTTCATGTTGTGCTCAAGCCCGAGGTGTCCGAAAAGGCGTTGCCCTGCTCGGCTGAGAGCTCGTAATGGCGCTGGGCAAAGAAGCGGCCCCAGCGACGCTCCTGTCGGGGCGGAGGGGAGGCAGCGCTCGTTTTTCGAAGCCATTCGAGGCCCTCGAGGCCTCAGGCTCCGCAGCATCGCTTTCGCCTGGCACGGTGCGGCTTTCGCGGTGGTCTGGTGCAGTCCGACACGGATCAACCCGCTCCGAGGGCAGACAAGGAGGAAACATTTAGCATTGCTGAGCACCCGGCTGGTATTCAGCAAAAATGATGCTGCACCTGCCGGGAAGGCTCGGGGAGCAGTCTTGGAAGTCCAGTTTCACAAAAGTATTCCAGCGGGCCGAACAACATGCACTCGATGTTGCTTCGCTCTTCCCACATTCTACACTCACAGATTCCACTGAGTCCGAATCCAAGTCTAGAGGAAGCGGAGCCACAAACCAGATTCGGCGTTCGGGGCTCAAAATGTCGAACGATACGTGAACCACGAGCCTGAGTCAAAGAGGTGAGCTGCATTCATCTGCGCCACCTTGGCCGGAAGCGCTTGTGCCAGAACAGGACTTCAGTCTGGAGACTGATAGGGCCATAGGGCTGGGCTAGGATCGTTGGTTGAGGAATCTTTCCCCACAAAGGCAAGCAGGAGAAGAGGTTGAGAAAAGAGATCTTGCCAAGTCCTGCCTCGTGGCCAGCTTCGGCAAGCTGTAGAAAGCCTGGCAACACGCGCAAGCCCGACACAGAACTTGGCACCACCCGCATCGCCGAAGAAACGCTCCCCTCGCATCCCTTCACATCCCAGCAAAGCGGAAGGCCGAGCAACGCCATGCAGCTGCCTCAGAACCTTTGATGCAAAGGGGTCGGAACAACACTTAGCACGATGACCGTGAGACACCTTCTGGGAGGCATGCGCCCAGCAAAGCGCGCTGTGCACTCTTCGGGGCAAATGTTTACCAAAGGGGAAGGTCGACAGAGTCTAAGACAGTCTAACAGTACTAGGGCAGTGGTAGGGGGCAGCAAGGCGCGAACAGCGCCGGGTTCGCGACTAGGCATGCTGTCAAGCTGGACACAAGTTTGCGCAGTCGACGGGTCGACAGCGAAGTCGATGGGTCGACAGTTGGCCTGGACGTGGCCTTCCACAACCGAGGCGCTGTGCTGCTCTTGCAGGTCGTACGCCTCTCGGAGCCTGCAGCTTCCCGAACTCAGCAGGGGCGTTGGCTTCACTCAATCTGTCCTGAAACTCACCCTACACATTCCGCATGATGCGAACAGGACAGACTGGACAGCTTCGGAGCTTTCCAGACACCCAGCTGCCCCTTTCGCATACCTCGGCTGCAAAGCAGCATGAAGGCAGCATTCAGGGCCATTGACCAAAAAAAGCACGCAGCGACACCGGCATCAACATCTGTCGTTTTTTGCGTCTCTGCACTCAACAACCTGGCACTGTTACATGTTTACTTGTTCTCCTGCACATGAGGGTGGGACAGGCGTTCGTCTAGCAAACTAAAGCCACTTGAACCTGAAACAACGTAGAAAATTGCGAAGAAGGAAAGATCGGACAATGGGAATGAAGTTGCAGCCGGGCGTCTCGCTTGAGAAGCTCCACCGCCATTTTGCAGTTGCGGACAGCGCCGATGCCATTGAGGTGCATCACTGCTAGCCTGTGCCCAAAGGCTGTGCAGATGCTGTGCTGCACAGCCAAACAGGGTAGAACCGGCACGCAAAAGCAAACTTTTTGCCGGCTCAGTAGCGTGTAGGCTGCAGGAGTATGGCCACGATCCAGTGCCTGAGTATACCTGGAAAGGCAGGGTCTCAGGCTGCATGACAAAGTGGAAAGCACGGTGCCGAAGACTCCGAAGACTGATAGCCCTTCCACTCTCCACTCTCCCAGACTCTCCCTCCATTCTCAGATTCCCCCCACTCTTCGGCATCTTGCGGCCGGGTTCGCCAGTGCGCAGCTCGCTGGAAGGACTGCTCCGTGCCCGTGCCCGTCAGGTACAGAGAGCCCAGGTTGAACCTGGGTTCGCGGCGTTCGCGGGCCAACTCTTGGAATCCTAAGATACCCATGCAATTCCACCAGTACACCCATACAAAAGTCCTGCCCTCTGAAACTGAGGTTACAGTCTCCAAATCTGCTCAAAAGATTGAAGGCCAAGGACATGCCGTCAGCGCTCCCGGCATGCGCAGAAAAGTTGAAGTGGCGGAATGCCTGAGCTGAAGAGACCGGTAAGCAGCTGAATTGCACTGCAACTACCATGACTACCGTACCTCGTGCCTTGCACTGGAGCTTGACTTCTGCCAGTTCCGGCAGCAGCCCTCTTTGCCCCCATGCACTTTGGTCACACTTCTCACCCCTCGAGGCCCTCTGCAAAATGTTCTCTTGTTGCCAGAATGCCAGGTCAAAGTCCTGCGCTTGGGTTTTTGTGCCGTGGAAGTAGATGAACCCCAAGCCATTATGGCCTGCACCGCAGCATGATACAGCATGATACGGCGTGGTGCTCGCGGACTGTGGAATCGAGCTTTTCTGTTCTATGCAGCCGGCGTCATGTCAGTGGATGTCGTGCTAGGCCAGGCTGAGCGTTTCAAGGCGGCCTGAACGTTTTCCACTACTTGCCCTGGTCGTGCCTAGAGCATCGTCACGAGACGCTGCATCTTGAAAGTATCTGTAGGCCCGATCCTTAGGATGGCATGCCTTGAAACTTCTACGATTCTCTCGAAAAGCAAACAAGCTCTGTTGTGCAAGGGTACATTGCCTCAAAGTTGTCTTGCATGAAACATCAAGCCGAAGAATTCCAAGCTCAAGTTAAGCTAAGGGACGAAGTCCTTGGTCACACCAAGCCCGAGACCTTGGAGAAGGTTAAAGGCGGGATTTCGCGCAACCGTCGCGCTTTACATAGATGTGACTGCGTGTTTGGAGGGCATGCAATCAGCATGCGATCATGCAGGCACAATCTGCATCAATTCACCTGCTCATGCAGCCAAGCTGCTGTACATATACCCTCAGTTTAGGGGCGCATGAATGGCTTGATCAGGCTTGGTGTCCTTCTGTACTGGCAGTGTGATGGCAGCAGCGTGCTTGAACTCGCAAGAGTCACCGCAGGCTCTCATCCAAGCTCTTCAAAACCCTACCGAATGAAATTCTCAGGCTGCGAGTGTGCCAGGAGACCCAAGAGAGCCATGGCATTGGGATGTTGCTTCCTCAGGCCGTCTTGTCACTTATTTCAGCAACAGAGTCTGAAGAGAGTGCATTGACTGCATCTCCACTCTCTACTTGAAAGACGCAGTGGATGGTTGACGTTACTTTCCCCAAACCCCAACACCTGATTCAGATCAAGCAAACAGACCAAGCAGACGGATGCTGTTTAACTGCTTAACATATCATAGGTCTGCTGAGTGGCTGCGCAGCTGTCGTGAGGTGACCCGCTGCACGCGCGTAGTTTTGGTGAAAGCCCTCCTGTCAGCAGCCACAAGTGTGGAAAGAGAGCTCACACAGTACGTACAGGTATGCGAAGTCGCCAACATAGACTACACGGAGCCCAGACAGCTGCCCCCGATCCATCCCTATTCTGGCTCAGGCCCCGGCAAGACCCAATAAATATCGCTTGCCCACCTCGTGGCAAGATGCAGTATTTTTACACATCGAGGAGGAGAAGTCCTCGGCAGTCCTTCTTAGCACAAGATACCACACAAAGCTACCCCCTAGCTACCCCCATGCGATCCCCCCATGCGATCCCCCCATGCAGCTCGAGGGCGGCAGCTGCAACATTGGCATCTCCGCCTCGAAAGGCCACGATGCAACAGAAGAAGCCCCGAGAGGAGCTCCAGCACTTCAACTACACTCTTAGACCACGAAGGCCACGAAGGGCGTCTTAAGGGCCGTAGGAACTACGAAAAAACAACAGAGCACCCCTACGACCGAACCACACATAGGTGTGCGTACAGGGTGCTGGCAGCGATCTCAACGAAGACCGCCATCTCCTTCGCAACTTTTTGGCATGAGGTGCGTTTACGCGAGTCGGCCTTTCTTGACTTCTACTACGCCATGAGCAAGAATCTCGGTGACATTAGGTTTCGAGATGTTTCGAGGACGAAGACTCCCATTCGGAGCAGTTGCTTGGGCTGCTCAACAAAAACTGATGCGGCAGAGCACAACGTCTAAGGCTGGGGCTGAGATGCTCATCTGACGGTCTCGATTGTCAACGCCGAGCCTCTCAGAGTGCGCTTCTCGCAGCGCGGCAAACCTGCAATCCGAAGAGTCGCTCTGACCGTGACCGTGCCTTACGAGCTCGACTGCCTTCGGCATTCCGGAGGAGTAGACCTCAAGCTTCGGAAGGCTCAGAACAACAGCCTCTTGAAAACGTCACCTGATCCCCATGTTCATGTGCCGGAAGAACTTTGCCCTGAACTCCCTGAACTCCCTGAACTCCACCAGCCTGCGCCACTCGCCGGGCCACCTCTTATGATTTGCGCGAGCTGCGAGCGTGCTGAGGTGTTGGGTTGGGCTCGCTACTTACGTTTGGGCAGGACACCCAGTCGGGCATCAGATCATGCAACAAAGAACGGTGCCTCGATGTAGTTGAGTGCCGCAGTGCCACAGGCTCTTGGGGCCCCAAGGCCTTGCAAATGCCTGGCAAGGGGCAGGCGATTCCAAACTACATCAACTACATGGGAACCTAGACGGGCAGCTTGGTGGCGCATGTGAAACACATGTGCAAAGCCGACATCGCCGCATCTGGTGGGTCTTGGTATTTCTTGATTGCATACAGCTGCCTGTAGCCCATTGCCTTGGCTTGACGCTGCGACCAGAGTGAGCCCACGTCGCGCAGAAGGCTACGCTGCAGCTGCTAACGGTGCATCTGCTGCATCTGTTGACCGAACTCGGGCCACAATGCCCACAAGTGCCCACAAGTGCCCACAAGCGCCCACAAGTGCCCACAAGTGCACACAAGTGCACACAAGTGCCCACCAGTGCCGCCCCGAAACCATCATGGCCCCAAGGTGCCCTGACAGCGAAGCAGCGTAGAGGTAGAGGATGCTCAGACCCTGCAAATTCTCAGATTCGAGATGCACCTTGCACTCGCATCAGCTCGCCTCGTTCTTCTGCAACTCTAGCGAAGATTCCTGCACACCAGGCCCAGGTTTCACGTGCACCCTGCATCAGCCTAGCATGGCAGCATTACTTTCGACGTCTCGGGTTCGTCGTCCCTCCTTGAGCAACCACAAAAAGGCGGTCGATATGCGGGCCTCGTCGAGGAGGTTGGCGTACAAGACCCCCAGCGCATATTGCGAGTCAGGGTCGCCGAGATCTGCTCCCGCCTGCACCAACGCCCGACAAAAGGCCTTCTTTATACGACAGTCATACAGACAGTCATGCAGGTTACCACTGCGGCTAACTGCATTTCCTGCAGCGTAAGGTCTCTTTACGGACCTGCGACCGTTGGCGCCATGAAGCTACCAAATCACGTTGATTGCGTTGCCCCGTTGCAAGATGACGGACAACACATGGCCTGAAACCAGTGCAGAGCCTGGGCGAGGTCCTGTGAAACCTGGCAGGAAGGAATCGAGAAGTGCATCTCGTGTGTGCTCCCGTGCTGCGCCGCCTCAGTCCCCGTGAGGTAGAGCTCCCCGAGGAGGCTTCTACAGCCACCGTATTCGGCAGCACAGCCTTGCACAGAATCTGGGGGTTTACGAAAATAATAATGGACCCCAAATATAGACCAAAATAGTAGGAGATGGCAGCGTGAAACAGAGCTTGGGTTGGCTTTCATCCATATTGAACTTACAATGAACTTACATTGAACTCAACTTGCGCACGTTCCCGGATGCACAGCTTGGAACGTCGGTTTGGCGGGGGCTGACTATTCGCCTGCACAAGCTCATACTGGCTTGCTTCCACAAGCACCAAAACTGCTTGCCAGCGACCCCCTGAAAACATGAGAGTTCTGCGGTGTTCTGAGCGAGTCTGCAGTTGTGCTCTCTCCATAAAACGGCTTCTCTCATGCTGCGGCTTCTCTCATTCTGCGGCTCTCTTTCTCTTTGCGACTTATTCCCGGCTCCCCGGCTCCCGCGGCCTCTGGCTTTGGCAAGAGCCGCTTTCGCATTCCCGCGTCGCAATTCCTGCCCGGGGCCGACAAGAGGGTGCTCTTAGTGAGAATTCTCGGTTTTTCCACCTTCAACTCCAAAGCCCGAGCCCTTGTCTACCTAAGGCAAGCCTAGGCAAACGTTCCGAGCACAAGTTGGGCCTGCAATGCCTCGAGGTGTGGGGCACCTGGTAGGCATACGTTTTGTCTTGCGACTGAGGAACCCTTGGACTTCCATAATGCCATAATGCCATGATGCTGTGATGCCGTGATGCCATGAAGGCCAGAGCATAGGCCAGAACATCAATCTAGTGCAAGAAGAGTGTGGCAAAGGGCGTTCAGGGGCCCGCCACCCAAGTTTTTGAAAGTTTCGGAATTGCGAGCATCACCAGCATCAGCCAGGCAACGGAGGCCCAAAACGGGCGGCCTCTTGCAAGGCCTGCTAAGGTTGAGCAAGAGCATGCAAGAGCCCTCTGCATTTCAGGAGGTGCCTGCTGCGACTCTCCCAAGCATCGGCCGAGGGAGAGGGGCCGAGGCGGTGGGCTGGGGCACTAGATTCACTAGATTTTCAAGGCCTTGCAGCGCCTTTCTTCCACTCATGTCTTAGACAGGGCACTTTGCTCCGGCTCTTCTGAGGTCGGTGTCGGCACATCCACATCTGCAAGACAAGCTCAACGCTCCCAACTTGAATGAGGAAAGTCTGGGCAAAGTGGAACGCGGCGCATCTCTTCAAACTCAAACCAAAACTCAGACTGTGTAGCCAATCGCCTGCAATGGGCGGTGCTGTCCAGGTGTGGAAGCCGAAGAGGTACAGCAGCCCCAGCTGGCAAAGCTCTCGCAAGAGACTCCGACATCGCTTTACACATGTTCTCCCCACCTTCGCGGCAAGAAAAGCCAGCACCGTCAGAAGGACCGTCAACTGAGCGGTGGTGGCTGTAGTCTTTGGTGACTTTGGGGCTTTTAACACTTCAAGACTTCAAGAACCCAGCTACAAACAAAACTGCAACGGACACTGAAAGCTCAGCTCTGCTCGCAGAAGCAAACCACCCGCACCATGGCCGAGGAAAGCCGAGGAAAGCTCAACACCGCATGGCTCGAACTCGTGTTGGAGGCTTGGAGGGTTGCACTTTGACAGCATACCCAGCTCAATTCATTTCGGCGATGCTCTGGGTGAGGGGTAAGCTTGACTGTGGGTTGGGGCAACACCCCAAGATCTTGACTGGGGAGTCAGTGCTTCTGCTCGAAGCATGGGGAAAGTGCCAGGACAAGCTCAGGTAAATTGTGCAGCAGTGACTCAGCAGTGTGTAGAAACTGCAGTGCTGGTCTGTGATCGGGCTGGGCTGCTCTGGTACGGGGTTTCACGAGCTTGCGTTCGGTGACTCTGGGCAAAAGGAAGCTTGAGTCATTGAGAACCAGCTAGAAGCCACATGTATCCAGGCTACAGGCCGCCTGTGGCTGCATTGCAGCCCGGAATCTGCATCCGTAATACCAGTGTGTTGGGGCTATTGCGAGATACGTCACCACATGCTCAACGGTTCACCAGCAGAGAACGAGCCTGCAGCTATTCCGATGCTTGCAACGACTTGGCTTGCGGGTATGTTTGTGGCTGAACTGGCCAGCGTCTTCAACCCTGCGGGCTTAGAAGGCCCACATGGACCCACGGGTGCTTATGCCAGGAGCCAGGAGCCGGAGCGACTCCAACTGGAGGAGTGCTCGGGGATTGCTCTCGCGGTGCTCGCTCGCACCTTCTTCTGCGCTTCCTCGAGGGAGTTGGAGAGAAGACCGGACCTTTGCCAAATATCATATGAAAAGAAGTGACACACACGCACACACAGAGGCCATCAGCCAAACAACTGCACAGCCCCTGGACCTGCCGTACCCTTTCAGGGGCCGCACTCTAGCGGAGTGTCTTCCGGCTGGCTCAGGCTCATCATATCTGGCGCCCGCTCTCTGCCCGATCTGCGCCCGCACTTGAGATAATGCATCATAAGCACAGCTCAGCAACTCTGAAACCACATGGCTTAGAAAACAAGTGAACACGTGACAGCACGTGACAGCACATGAGTGTCTCGTGACCAACAGGGCAGTGTTGCTCATCATGTTCTTGATGTTGTCGCCTGGCAAGTCAACAGCTGGGGACCCACTGTCCTCTCAACTAAGACTCTAAGACTCTAAGGCTCAACTAAGACTCAACTCAAAAGCCTCAGCCATTCCCAAGCAAGCTGGAAGCCAATCTCTTACACCGCGCCATGCGCACCATGGCACGGCTACACGGCGGGCCTTGCAACCCTTGGACCTCTTGTTGCACAAAGACAGCAAGAAGAATGAGAATGTGAGAGGCAAGTAATCAAGCAATCAACAAGCCCGCCTCCGAAGATGCGGAAAATTGTATCATTCAAACCTCACAAAGCCGCGGGGTCGAAATACGGAAAACGCCGTCACTAGGCCCCGCGAGGGGCCTTGGCGAGTGCCGTGATGAAGCTCAGAACAGCCCTGAGACTAATTCGTTATTGCTCTCTTGCACTGTTGGCTCTTCATGCAGTGCAATCTCAGCCCTTTGATTCGCCTTTGATCTCACCCCTTTTCTCAAAAGCTTTCCACACTCACAATATGACCAACCGCCGGCTCAGCCCCGTCTCCCACACACATCGCAAAAAAAAAGCCGCCCTAAAATAACAGAGCGCCACGTCTCAAGTGTTTACCCCAGTGCTCGGAGTGCTCGGAGCCCCGGCTGAGGAAAAACCGGGTGCTTCCAGGGTCGCCTTGTCGGGCCTCGGCTTCTGGCAGTGGCTTCTAACAGAGCCACCCTGCTCAGGAACACTGTGTTGCAAGCGAAATGAAACCAAGAAATGGCAGCGAACATCAGTTGCGGCGCCCGCTCCGTGCTGTGGGGCTGTGGGATGTGTTGGCGACTTGCAATGGTAAGGCTATGCTTGACGGCGTGCAAACTATTTCCGCATTTTTTTGCACCGAGCGGACGCCGCCTTGATGTGTATGTTGGTTTTGATTAGGGCTTTGAACTGACGCATTTAGATTGGTAGTTCGGGTTAAGCTGACATTCGCTTGGCATGAACGCGCAGCATGCATGCAGTATATATGGTTCAGCGTCGAGCGTCCTGGCCCCCCCCCCCCCCCCCATGGTATCCCCCCCCCCCCAAGTCTACTCTACGGTCCCTAAACCCTAAACCCTAAACCCTAAACCCTAAACCCTAAAAACCCAAAACCTAAACCCTAACCCTAAACCCTAAACCTTAAGTCTTAAACCTTAACCCCTAAACCCTAAAAAACCCTGAACCCTAAACCCTAACCCTAAAACCAACCCCCAACCACACCACAGGGGGGGGGGGGGGATTCATCTTAGTACCCCATCCGCGGGCAAAACCCTAAACCCTAAACCCTAAACCCTAAACCCTAAAACCCTAAAACCCTAAAACCCTAAAAAACCCTAAACCCTAAACCCTAAACCCTAAAACCCTAAAACCAACCCCCAACCACACCACAGGGGGGGGGGGGGGTACCATTGGGGGGGGGGGGGGGGGGGGGGGGGGGGGGGGGGGGGGGGGGGGGGGGGCCCGCCGGGGCCGAACCATATATGCTATCTTCAACTTTGGGTGCATGGCTTTGGGTTCATTGTGGGGTGCCTAGGACGTCCACACGACCTGCTTGGACGTGGGTGGGGTTTAGGGAGCCCGAAACATCCTTGCCGTTTTTTGGGAGGACTTGGGGTCCCTTTGTGTGCAGAGGACTGCTTGGTAATTCTACTTCCTTAGATTAGGGCTTAGGATTCGGGAGCCTGACTCCACCCTGCACTTGAAGCGTGGAATCAGGGAACCTTCCTGGATTTGACAGGAGTTTTGGGGGTGGTTTTGGGGTGGTTTTGGGGTGGTTTTGGGGTGGTTTTGGGGTGGTTTTGGGGTGGTTTCGGTCTCAGCTTGGGGGCACATCGGCCCCGCAGCTGGTTGTCGATACGCCGCGACTCGTGCCGCTCGGTGCCGAGCACCTGATGGGATTTGAAAACACCCCTGACTGGCACACGGCAAAAATGGTCTGCGGGTCGACACTCAGAGATAAAGCAATTAAAGAGAACTGCTCGGCTGGATCCGGACACTCAAAGCCAACTCGCGTCTCTGCAAGTGTACAGTGCTTTCTTTGTCCCTTCAGCGTCAATCTTAGCGGTACTCTTTCCTTCACTCAGCAAACCCTGTCCGAGATCCTGACTCAACGAATGCAAACAGAATCGCAGCTGGGCAGGCCAATGCCGGGGCGGGCACCATCAGCCCTCCCAAGGCCTTGACCTCTTCCTTCTCGAGATCAGTGATCTGGGCCGGTCAAGCGTTGGAGGCCCTGACGCTCCCTGCAAAACCCTTCCGAACACTGGGATCTGTCGCGACCATCAGCACTGCACAGCCCCCGGCCTCCTTGTAGTGCGCGTCCAAAGACTTGTAAGCCGCGCGAAGTTTGAGAATCACCTTGGCGGCGAATGGCTACCAACCGGCAAGCCGGCAACGTTGCGCAGCCCTAATCCCAGATACGCTTTGAAAGACCCCCTACACCTAAGCACCCCTTTATGAAGCCCCCAAGCTCTTACAAGTAAGGGACCACTGAAACCTGTAAAGGATTCTGGGACGCCTCGTGAAACCCCGAAATGGGATGGACCCTCAGCAAGCCCCCCAGGCTTGGCAAGAGAAAAACTTGCAAGGAGGCTACAAGGAGCTAGTTTCCGAGAGGTCTCGGAAGCCCCATGAAGGCTCCCACACGCCTCCCGCCACTCCACCCCCAGAATCGCTTCAGAAGCGGCCTCGCCTCGTCGTCGGTCGGGGCCTTCTCGCATGCCAAGGATAAGCGCTCCTGCAGCTCAGCGCTGTGAACTGCACGACATGCACACCAAGGCCCTTTCCCTCAGAGACATGTTCGCAGGGTGAAAGCCGGTAAGCATCTGCGACTGGCCCAAAACATCCTCGGCGTCGAGCTCGGTCAGTCGACCCTGCGTTGTGTTGTTGCATGGTGACCAAGGACCCTCCGTCATGAAGGAGTTGGAACTCCGTAACCCTCGCAGCCTGGGCGACGATCTGCTCTGCGGCCTTCCAAGACACTCAAGAGACTGGCCCGCTGCAGATTCAAGAAGAGCCAGCCTTGCCTCAAGAGAGGTTGGCTTCAGGTCGATCTCTTTCGGAGTCCAAGCCTGGCGCAAGAACCATGGCACGCATGCCCCGCCACACCCCCCTCTGCACCAGAAGTGCCCGCACATCAGGGCTTAGAGTTCAAGGCTTGCAGTTCAAGAGCAAGGCTCTGCCAAACACAGCCCGAGGGTCACATTTGAAATCGATGGCTTGGATTGAAAAGACTGCACGTGTCCCTCGTTTGATTGATTTTCTACCAATTACGCACGGAAACCTTTCCTTCCAGGACATCACCACCCCGGTGGCTCTCGTGAGCCCGTGCACAAGCTTGCCTGTGTGACGCTACCCACCCCACATTGCAAGACTCAGGACGTCAACTGATCGGCTACTGTCCCACAGCCTCCACTGTTGCGGCCACAGCATCAGCAACCTGTTGCGTGCGTCTTTTGGGGCTGCCGTGCTGGTGAAGAAAAGCGACCAAGACCATTGCACACACGAGGCTTGCTGTGTGCGAATCCAGCAGTCAAGCAACCTGTGTCTTGAGCTGGGGCGTGAGGTCAACCGGGTAGAACTCTTCAGGCATGGCCTGCACCGCAGAAGCTCAATTAGTCCCAACCCACACCCGCGCCTTTGGGATCTTTGGTCAGCATAAGCAATTTCCAGCAGCCGTCTTGGGCTCGGGCCCAGGACTTCCGAGGGAACAGTTTGCCGTAGAGCTCCTGTCAAGAATTGGCGCCCAGGAGGCAAACCACCTCTTGCTTTCTGCGGCACCGACCATGAACCATCACGAAAAAAACCCTGTGCCAACCAATGCCTCACGCAATCGGAGACGAGCCATCATGGCGGGGTTGCCGCCCAGCAGAATGTCGGTTCCTGGCAACTGTGGATAACGTCGAAGATGTCCAAGCCTTTGCAAGTGGGCCCGGTACTGCATGTAGCAAGAAGTCACCTCGTCCGGCCATGTTGGTCGCGATGGTAACGGCCTGAGTTCTGCGAGGGGCTTGGATCACCCTCAACTTGCCAGGAGCAGTGCTACAGATGCCGTCGCAGATCAACAATCTTCCCTTAATTGCCCTTTCATCTCTAGCCCCCTAATGTGCACCCTAGAGACATGCACTGGGCTCATAGCAATTTGTGGTTCGGGCTGCAGGGTGGGTCTCTCAGACTGGAGCCCCGAAGTGGAAAAGGAACCTCTGATCTAACCCGTGCCATTCTTCCGGAATAACGTTCAGTGGAACAAATCCCCACGTTCACAGGCAACAAACGACACTGCAAGACACCAACCCAACAAAGACACCTAAAAGTTTTCCGTTCTCTGGTCGGCTCTGCTCGGCGTCCGACATACTTGCGGCCACTCGAGGCGACAATCTCAGTCTCGCGGGCCACATTCTCAGGCTTGGCATTGAGGAGCTGGTAGGCCCTGTGGAGATCACTGGCGGGCTGAGATCAAGTTGAACATGGAAGAGAAGAGGCCAGGCATGGTAGGTACTAACACTAACAGAAAGAATGCCATTCGACCCCCAAAGTACAGGTAGCACAAAGTTCCTTCTGTGCAGTTCTGAGCAACAGCAAAGAAGTGTTCTGTCCATGAAAGAGGAGCATCTTCCATCCTTTCCTAATTAGACTAGACTCGAGCGCACGATGCTGGTCCAAACCAAGGATGCCGACAATTCAATTTACCAGGATGTGTTCACGATGCACCGACAGATTGATTGATGCACGGACGCATGAAAGTGTGATGAAGGAATAAGTTGAGTGCCTACATGGTGGGGCATCTTTGGAGGAATCGGTACAACCTCTTGGCCGCACAACAGTCACAACATGCTGAGTGCCTCGGCCTACCGCTAGCTCCGGGTGCCTAGACAATGTTAAGGACTTTGTTTGCTGATCCCAATGATTCCGCAACCATGCGCAGTGCGGAGCCCATCAGGTACTCAGTATACGCCCATTCAGAGAAGAGGATTGGATCAGTGAAGTGGCCCATGGTGGCAGTTGTGGCCCTCTCTGTCAGTGGGGTCCGCACACGCCCAGAGCATCGAGGAGCTCTGCAATGATTTCTGAGTTCTCCACCTCAGGCGGCATCTGTGAGACATAGTCGGTACCTGTCAACCTCCTTGCAACCAGACGCCTAGATGCCTAGCCTGAGAATCAAAATCCTCACGTCTCATCCAAGGGGCGTTAGTAGTCCCGATGAGGACGGGCCGACCGATGCGGTGGGCATTCTCGATCTCGCGGGCGCAGGCCTCACCGTGCAGGTGCCGTGATTTTGCTTTTTTGTTTTCAGCTCGTGCGCCCTTCGAGTTTCTTGACCGACTGGGTCGTTGCCGATGTGTGGACGGCTATCAAACCCGAAGTTTTTCAGCAGACGATGGCTTGTTCTGGAAGCATGATCCGAGTCTGATTCACTTGTTGATCATAAACTGAGGTTCTCCCATTTGTAAAGTATGAAACTGCCACTAATGCAGCCCTATACACCTCTAGCATGCCAAGCCTTCTGCCTTCCACCTCCACAACAACACATCTTGCTGCAGGCACTGAACCTTCCACTTGCCAATGTCGTCTACGAACACCTGGCAAGATACACTGCTTTAGGGTGAGCAGCGCTGATGCCGGCTATGTACAAGTTAGACCATTTACGTCGTTGGCGAAACCGCAGGTCGATGCTACGGATGGATTCCTCCAACTCCAACTGGAGCCGTGCAAGATATCGATGCTATGGCAACGAAGTGAGGCAGACCTGATCGTCCTTGTCCTCTCGCTTCCTGTGACTCAACAGCTTGTACATCTTCAGTCTGGACTGTCAAGGCCATGATCGCTTGCTCGCAAGGCAGTCAGCTCTTCTAGCCAGACCCTCTCCAATAAAAAGGCCTGGAGTGAAGCTTCACAAACGCTGGAGCCACACTTGACTACTGGGACATCCACAGGCTCCCCTCATATCAAGTTTGTGCGAAATCGTTGCAGACCGTCCTGGACAGGTTTGGCGGGACGACGACCTGAGCAAAAGTTGGGGGCTGGCTCTGGCCGGTGCAAGGCTTCTGCACAGTTTTTGCCTGCACCCGTAAGCAGACTTCAGTACTGCTTGGCTGTGCCAAATTCATAGCACAACGAAAGGCATGCAAAACTCGTGGGGCTGGTCCACCGCGAGTTACTTCCCATGAGGATGACGTAATCATGTGTCGTGCCTCTCACACTTCTGCCGGAACCGTCTGCTGCAGGGCACTGAGGCGGGTCTTTAGCTCAAGCACTGCTGCCATGCCATCAGGCAACTAAACGTTGGATTGTCGCCTCCTTCCCCTAAGCACTATCGGATGCAATCACTTTGCCCGGCGAGGCACCGTCTTCAGCTTGTACACCTCTTCGAACTCTTTGGCTTCCGTAAAGGCAGTACCGGTCATTCCGCCCAACCTAGATGCCAGCGCCGAAGTGCTTGTGAACGTATTCCGCACGGTGCTGCAGAACTACAACCCAGCAGGATCCTGCACCTCTCTGTCTGCGGACAAGGGTCTTATCGAAGAGTCTGAACAAGGACTGGTACGAGATGCCTAGCATTGGCAGCAGCATCATCGTCATGGCGCTGTGACAGGAACGGTGTGCTGAACAGCGTGGCTGCAAAAACGGGCAGGCGGGGGCAAGGTTTGCAACAAATGTCTCTGGTTCATGGTTTACTTCAGTACCTTGTCCACAATCTTTCAGGCAAGTGGCTGGCCAGCGTGACAGACTCGGCCTGGATCTGCACACCCTCCTTGGCCTCAATAGCCTCGAAAAAACTCCAGGCCAAGTCAGCTGCGGGGCAAGCAGGGCTCTGCTCTCACAGCTTGCCTCTTAAGACTGGTGGGGTAGATGGATCATTGCACTTCACCCAAGACAAGCCTGGTGGAGGCCGTTGCTCCATCGACGACCCTCCATGACGCGCCCTGTGAACTCGTCCACGATCCTCAGCGAGTCAATGGCACTGCTCGGCATTCCATCTTCTGAAGCAGGGATCTTGCGACATTGTGCGTTACTTGTGCACTACTTGGGGAGGCGAACACAAAATCTCATGGAGTTCTCGTGCACTCGGTATGTGGGCTTTCGTCAAGGCTATGGACTCCACATGAACTTCACATGGCCTCAAAATTGCCTTGAAGGCTTGACCAGGTTAGGGCCTAAGGTTAGCCGGGCGAGTCACATCACTTCTCCGCGCTTCACGATGTAGGCCTGGCTGGTTTCTACTTGTATTGAAGGTCCTGTTTAACGGTTCGCACTCGATGTCGACAGAAGTCTTCACAGCCTTGTCTTTGATGTACAGCTCCTTGGCATTCAACGAGTTCGTGACAAAGGGAAACCACGGGTCCTGCACGCGGCTCAGAACTCCGGGAGCAACAACGAGCAACAATGAGCAGCATGTACGTCCTCTGGGTCAAAGAGGTCATCCTTGCCCAGCAGCTTCTCGGCCGTTTCGACACCGGCCTCTCGACTTCACAATTGCGGATGTTGACTGCACCTGCACGTAACCCTCGAACCCCGTTTGATAGTGCTGAAAACTTGCTTGCCGGCCTATGGAACGGTGCATAAGGCAAGAGAGGAACCCGCACATGACGTGTACAAGTCGGGGGCTGCAGTCCAGAGCTGAACCTCAGGAAACAAGCCCGCCTCAATCAGCACGCACTGCCTCTGCTTCTCGTCCACCGTGTAGTGCACCTGGCAATGCGAACACTACTGTGGTTCAGAGCATGGTCTTCCGATGTGGTCACCTCCACCCTGCCCCTATTCCGGCCTCCTTCCGAAGCGCCTTGGTCACCTCGTTGGCCACCTCAACCATCGCAGGTGGAGAGTCCAGGATGTCATGGCAAAATCATGATGCACACTTGGAAGACTTGTTGGAGCTCTCCGGATAACTTGTGGAGTGAACAAAAAATCAGGCAAGAAAGAACTCTGAAAGAACTCCACACGGCCTGGTACTTCGTCGGCGAGTTCTCGGCGACTCCCGAGATGATGAGCGGTGTCCGGGCCTTGTGCAAGTGGCGGTGTCTGGTGCCAAGCCACTGTGCCGATGTTTGCAGATCTGGTGGCCACTAGGATCACTAGGAAGACATGGCCGCGCTTGCCACCCCCACCTCGTCGACGAGGATGGAGTCGACCTCATCCACCACTGCAAAATTGAACCTTGGGGAGAGGGCAGTGATCACAGAACTTGATCATGCTCCAGCTTGGCTCTGCGTTTTGACGTGGCATGTGCTGGCCTTTGCGAAAGGGGGCACCGGCACCCGCCGGCAACCAGGATGTAGATGCTTTTAAGATGCTTAAGTCCAAGCTACGGTGTACCCTCTCGGAGCGAGAGGTCCGAAGGTGATGGGGCCATCTGATCTCGGAGGTAGTCGAAACCCAACTCGCCTGATTCAAGCGATGCAGAGACTTCGCAAGTCACTTGGTGCTCAGCTGCATCTGTCATTGCCGGGGCGCTGTTGGTGACATAGGTGACATCACACCTGTAAGCCTTCTTCTTCTGGTCGGAGGGCATTCCATTCCTTGTGCATTTTATGAAACACGCTCTTGGGCACTACCAGCAGGAAAATGTGGTTGGGATGCTTGGGTCGGACGCAACCACATTGAAATGGATATGGCCTGTGGATAACAGCGCAGGGCGATTTGCTAGTTAAGAGGAGGCTGCCCCTCTGTTGCAGAGGCTCTGCACGACGCCAACCGTCATGCCAAGAAAGCGGAGCGGCTGACCAACCTGCCAAGGTGGTATGCAAGCACTCGTGCTTCTTATGCTTCTGTTGTCTCTTTGTCTAATTTCCTTCTTGGCTTCGTATCGCCTACAGCAAGAATTCACCGGGCTCTCGCACAGTTCTTGTCGGGAACAGGGAACTGAAGATGCACGGAATGACATCAGTGCTGCACAGTTCAGAAGCCGAAAACGAAGTGGAAACTGATATGAGCCAGTCGACCCTGTCGGGCGGCTCATGACTTCTTGCAACTGCTCAAAGAATGAAGACACCCTTTCGAGGCAGCATTGACTCGATTGACAATAAAAGCTGTGGCCAAGTAGGCCAAGTGGCCCACTCTGCATCACGCCGCGCAAGGTAGTCGTTCACCGTGACGACATGTACCCCCTGGCCATCAAACCCTCGCTGAACTGAGCATCGCCACTTGAAGCCCTGGACCTGCAAAAAAACCAAGGAACCATGCACCTGAACATACCCTTACCACGACTTCTTCTTTGCCGCATTCAACTCCAACTCCAGGGCACAGCTCCCAGGTCCCAAAGCCAGCTCAAGCTATGCGCAGCACCTAGAATATTGGAGCATATTCGAACATATCGGAACAACGTAGTCGAGCATATGTTAACCCCATTCAGCCCAGCACGCGCCCGGGACCTTGCCACTTAGGGCATTGAGGAAGGCCGCTAGGATCGCCACGAGGGTTTTGCCCTGCAGCCGTTGTGCTCTAAAAGAATTTGCAGAGTCCCCAGAAGCCCAAGCATCATTTGTTGCGCCTCTGGTACACTCCTGACCCGGCCTCACCAGTTCCCATCTCCGCGATGTTGCCTTCGTGGAGGGCGATGCCTTCACCGGTGGAAGAAGATGAGAACTTTGCTTGAGAAGGCTCACGACTGCAGGTGAAAACACCACGGTCACCTTCGAAAATCTCAAGCGACATCCATGCGCCGAGAAACAGCAGGATTGTAGGACTTGCAGACCCACAAAAGCGTGGCAAACGCTAGAAACCCTCGCCTCCCATCAGCTGCACATCAAAGTGCCGAAGGCCCAAAACTCGCATCGAGGCCTGCTATGCTCTGTGCGGAGTTCAAAACAGCAGTACAGCCAAACAGGCCAAACATGTGCACTCTGTCAGACTCGCCTCCCGAACGAGGGCAAAGGCCTCTGGCAGCAGCGAGTCCAGCGACTCCTAGCACAAATTCGGGGCTTGCTGCCACACTTTTTGCAGGACGAAAGGAGACAAGAGATAAAAGTATAAAAGTTAGAGAACACCGGAGAATACAAAAACAAAGCGCCTGAGGTGGACAAGTGTGAAGCTTCTCAACTTCCAAGGCTGGCTATTGATGGCTCGACATGTCATGGGCTTAGGAAGTTAAGCTTGAGCTTGTCGACAAAGAAGTCACCACCCTTCTGCCCTCATCATGCCCTCTCTGTTCGCGGCCGAATGAAAATGGGAGCGGTCACCCTTCTCAAGAAGGCCCCGCTAGCATTCCGAATGATTCGTACTCGGGGAGCCGTGGTAGATACCAAGCGAATCACGAGGTGTTCTTTCTTCTCATGAAATGCAACTTGGGTTACCCTTATCGGCTAAGCCAGTCTTCGCAGAGATAGGCAAAGACTGCCTTTTCGAGGACGCCTTGTGATGTGGCCCCCCTTGTCGCCTCACCCTCGCAGCCCTTGTTTTCAGAGAACGGCTTTGGGGGGGGAGAGGGGCGGTTCAAAATTCAGACAAATTTTTGGCAACCTCTTGCCCAGAGAGCATCGACGGTTGAGGTCTGCTCGGTGCGTCCTGCTTTTCCTGAGCTCGGCTCTGGAGGCTCTTCGTGAGCTCACCTTGGAACATACAAACACGGAGGTGGCTTTACGAAGCAGCAGGCGGCAGCAGGGCGGTAGCAGGGCGGTAGCAGGCAGCGCTGATGACTATTGGGAGCCTTGTCTCCCAGCGCTTTTATTCCCTGTCTCTGGGTGAGCTGCGCAGCTCATCGTCCGAGCGAGCCTGCATGTCACTCTCCAGGGCATTGACTGCCTGAGCGCTCGCGGGCAAGCCAGAGAGACAGAGACAGAGAGAGAGCGAGCGAGAGAGAGAGAGTCAGAGAGAGAGCCAAAGACCCGTCCAAAGGCTGCCGCCTCGACTTGAGGGCTGTATCGCTTCCTGGTCTGGACATCGGGGGCCTCGTAGAACCTCAGCCCAGCGGTGACCGAAGATGCCCCCGAGCCGCATGTTCTACACGTGTATCCATTATCCCGGTCATGTACCATGTAAAGCTTAAGGCTTAAGTTTCGTCTCAAACTCCAGCAGCTCCAATGGGTCGTGACAGTTTTGTTGCGCTGTCAGATCGTGCGCAGGGGCTGTCCGCAGCAACAACAAGCGTCTGTCAAGCAGCCTCCCTCCCACGAGAGCACTTGCTCCACACCCAACTCCAGGTCACAAGCAAAACCTTGTGCCGGGCTGCGGGTTGATCTTTTGTGCCAGGTCACCAAACAAGCGCCTGGACACCACTCCGGGCAGGCTTGAAAAATGGCTTTTGCAACAGCTGGCTCAGTGCTCGAATTGCTCGAAGAGTCTCCAAATGGCTCCGGGCCCAACGTCATGTGCCACGTGTCCCATAAGCTCCACAGAGCATATCCTACACTCACTGCACACTCCGATTTTCTGCTCTTTGCTTCAGTGAGTGAAAGCCCTGAAAAGCCATGCTACTGGCAGTCGAGCCATCACGGACCAATGGCTGAAAAGCCATGCTTGCAATGCAGGTAGCCATGGCCTCGGCACGTGTCGTGTGGTGCGGCTGCGCCGGGCGCGGGCACCACCCGCCAGGAGAGCACCTCCAACGCAGCAAACTCAGTCGGAGACTCTCCCTTGCAAGTGCCTCACCTGAACCCCCCGAACCCTCCCAGAGGTTTGCAGGCGAGTGGCCCATAGTGGCCAGCTTCACAGCGGTGGCATCTCCTGACTGTGTGGGCCATGGCAGTGTTTCAGCTTGATTTGGCAGCATGGCTGCAAATTGATGCAGATTCTGCTGCTGTACCCGTGGGGCTGAGCACACGGTTGCAACTCAAGCCCCGGTCCGAAGATGAGAAAAAGCGGTTGCACGTGGTGCCTGCTTCTGTCAGCCGCTCCGTTTCCGGTGCGGGGGCCTGGGCCGAGCTGTCATCTCTGTGGGGTAATGCGATGAGGTGTTCAGGCGACAGGCTTACCTTGGGATCCCTGTTTCAGAAGACTTTCTTTGGTCGCGCCACGAACATCACTAGCAGTTACTCAGAATCCCCTCGGGCTCACCGCGTCTCGCCGCATCGCACCCCCCACTCGTGACAGGCCTTGTACCGCTCCAAAGACCGTGGCTGCCCCGATGGCCGCGTGTTTGTCGCGGTCTGCAATAAAAGTCACAAAGCAGGTCACAGCTGTCACAGACTCTCTGTTTCCGCAACAGTTACAGACTCTTCCGTTTCAAGGGCACATCCGTAGCAAACCCTGGGCTTCACCTGGAGGACCCATCGCCCATTGCTGTACTCAAGCATGGCACCCTTCGAGACCAGTTCAAAAAGGTCGATAAAAATTGGATGCACCTCTGAGCCAGAAATCAAAGGAAATGAAAACGCAACGGAAATCACTGGATCCATGGACAACGCCACGAGGCCATGTCGTGTGTCGTGTGTCGTGTGTCGTGGTGAGGAGACTCCTCTCGTGAAAGGCAGTGGCAAGCTTGGGGCTGACCCATTCGCTTTTTCACCTGGCGTATTGGTAGCTGTGCTCTAAACTGGGAGGTCCAGAGGATTGGACTTCTCGCAGCTGAGCTCTCTTCTGGAGAGGTTTTGAGGGCTGTCAAGCCGCGAAAGCTGCACCCAATTTCCTCCTCTTTCCCTCCGTAATGGACGGCAAAAGCCGCCGAGGATTTGCACAGCAAGCCTACAGCAAGCTCCAAATCTCGAACCCCAAGCAAGCATCTATAGCTCTGCGTGAGCTCAAGTCTCTTTCCAGTATCTCACAGACTTGTCGTGCGAGGCGGAGACCTCAAGACTGAGAAAACGTTGATGCTATGCCGCGCTATGCTGCCCTGCTACACACTGCCAAGTCACACCTATGCTCTGACAGCCTACAATCTGAGCCCAGGACCAGCAACCTCGAGCCACTTGGGGTCACTCCCCAAGCGACGTCGAAAACGCAGTCCGTGTGGCCGCCTGGACGTCGGGTCGGAGTGCGTTTTGTTCAAGGCTCAGTGTTTTCTACTAAGGTCCCAGCTGAGCTTCTGCAGCATCCTGGGCTTGTCCGCTGAGGTGAAGCCCGAATAGACAACCACGCTCCTGGCAATGCGCAATCAATGCGCAAGCTCCACATCTGCCACATCTGCAGGTTGACTCGTCGTGAAATGCCCGGTTGTCGCAGACTTGAGTACCATTGTCGCTGCTCTTTAGAACGCAAGGGAACGTGTTCAATGCTTCTTCATTCCCAATGTACTTATACACCGACCCGGTCGAGCATGCAGCCGCCAGCATGTCGCCGTCTCTACCTCATGCAAGGCATACAGGATCATAAGGGATCATGAGGGATCATAAGGGGCAGGGTGCAAACACCAGAGAATGGTCATGCAATGTCAAAGATACCGCAGGCTCGTGCCACATGCTGGTAGGAACGTCGCACGCAGCCGTGCCAAGCCGTGCGCAACGGACTGAGCTTGCGACTAAACCCAACACGCTTCACCTCGAGTTGTCGAGCGCATCTCGATCTGCTACAACAAGCCACTGCGATTAGGAGACTTTTGGCCTTTGGCATAGGTGAGTGGTGCGATCCCAACTTGCGACCGCATGGTTCTACAGGACAGAAAGCTGTCTAAGCCTCATAGCATCTCATAGCCCCAAGCCCGCAGCAAGATCCCTGACAATCACACGGTTTCACTACCGTCACTACCCTGCTCGTTTCTACAAAGTCCTTTCGTGTCGGTGAACTGCTGAGCTCTCCGATGTCCCGAATCCAAACTTATGCATAAGCATGCCACGACAAAGCAGATGCCCACTTTGCAGTCCGTGCCTCTGTGTCTTGCGACATGTCAACCTGCGAAAGGGCTGTGGACTTGCTCGACAGCGAGCTTCAGGGAACTCCACATGTGTCATCAAAAGGTCCTTGCACGCTTCGCAGACCCTGAACGTATGAGCTTGTAGCGTGCTGCAAAAAAACACGCCCATGGCATCTCCTTTTGGAAGCTTCCCCCCCCTACAAGAAAGGCTGCTGCAAATCAGAAACTCAGCTGCTTGCCTTGCAATCGAGCTTGTGAAGCACCTTCCAGGTCTTGATGTCGTAGACGAGGATGGTCCTAGGTAAGGATTCAATGATGTCGAGCCATGAGGCACATGTCCATCGTGATGCTTCGCGATCTCAAGCAAATCTGAGGCCAGCTGCCCATCGTCGGAGCCAGTTGCCAAGATCCTTAAGACCACAGAGGACAGCCAGTGACCCACACCCGTGCCATGCTTGCAGCATAGGAAAGCTTCGCCTCGGCCTCAGGCGTCAGATCCCGATGGGACCCCCGAAATCTCCCTCACGAAAACTTGATTGACCCCGCCTCGCTGTTTCTGACCCCCTTCCCCCCCAAAAAAGTTGTTTTGACCGCCCGCCCCGAGTTTTCTGATCAGGGGGTTACAGAAAAAAGACGGGCCCGCTCTCCCCCCTCTCTACATCCCCTCCCCAGGCCGCCGCCCCCGTTTGTGGCGTTTTCGGGTTTGGCCAATCGAGACAAGGAGACATTCACGTACTGGCCCTGACTTTGTTGGCATGGCCCGTCCGCTTCTCAAGTCAATACACGCTTGTATGGAAGACCGACCCGAAAACCCTACACCAAGACCCTACAAAAGCCTCTGCCCGCCGGACACGCCCTCACTGGCTCAAAGCTCGACCCCGACAGCAAGGGCACAAAGTGCAAGACCAACTGTCGACTCGACAGAATTGAGCGCAAGGCCCGTGGCTGGAGTAGTCGATGCCTTCATTCTCGAAAACACATCTCAAAGGTTACGCGAGTAGAGCAGCCTTTCACGTGACCCTCGGAATAATCCAAGAAGACTGCGGACCACTTGTCCTGCATTTGTTGAGATGCCGCCAATGTCGCAGCGGTGCCAGGATTCAAGAGAATGGTTCCGAATGGTAAGCAAATGAGCCGGCACTCCGACATATTAAGCAGCATTCTGAGAAGGTGGTTTTTGGCTCTCTACGTGACTGGCTTGGAGATACACTGATGGTTCCGAGGTGGGAGCCAATAATGTCATCTGTGTGGCCCGAAAGGGTCACGACGACCTGCCGCAGAGCTTCTGCTGTCTTCTGGCAGAGAACATCTTCCAATGCTTGTGCACGGCGCTAAAACGCAACAACAATCTTCCATTTTATCAAACTCCATCAGAAGTCTGCTAGCTTTACGGATGAGAGCTCGGGCTCCAAGTCAACCCATCGAAAGCCTTCTTGTCGCGCATGTCAAACACTCGTGTCTTCCTTGGAAGCAGCATGGATGAGGCCGTTTGCCGAAATCGTTTGCAATCAAGAAGACACAGAAGAAACATCTGGAGACCTCTGCAGCAGACATAAAGTCGCCTAAACTTGCAGGTTGAAGCTGAGGCCGAGTCTGATCAAAACAGCAAGTCGACACAAAGTATTGCCTCTCCGGATCCTGGAAGCAAGGGCTTTTGATGGCTCCAGATGGCTGAAGGACACGTTATGATTCTTACAAACTTCTCAATCCCACCAGCGTTAACCAAAATCCTCAAAGGGCATGAATGCTCGCATGGTTGCTAAACGAGGAGGCCAACGCAGACGAGTGGGCGAGGGCATGTACCAAACCGCTTCTCAAACGTCTCTGGGCGCATCCTACATGTGTGATAATTAATTCGTACCACGCGCGCCCTTTCCATTCATTTTGGAGGCTGCTGCGTGCAGAACCGAACCGGAATTTCACATCCTGAACATGAGGTCCCTCGGCCAGCCTATCAGGGCTGAGGCGAAACAATCCTGTTTCCCCCCCCCCCCCACGACCTGTAATTGTCTTAACGTTGCTTTCGCAGATAACCCTACCGACACCTTCAGCCTGCAACCCCGTATGATACACTAGGGACATGTCCTAACATCCCCCCACCCTCAACAACAAAACTCTATAAACCCTGCACCTCCCCCCCTCTAAAACCTCTCAAATAGACCCTCGTGGTCCTTTCCAAGGAAGGTCACGCCATAAACAGGCTTGCCTGGATGCACGAGCCTGAGTAGCCGAGGCTCAGACGGCATCTGCTCTCGCGACCCAGGCAAACACAAGGAGAAAAAAAAGAAGAGTCGGGCAGAACATGGCAGAACTCTGCGCGGCTGCGTGCTCTCTTGAGCACAGCAAAGCAGCTTCCATGTCAACACGATGCTCCGCTCTCAGCCCTGGAGCTGAGACGAGCCGAGTTGGGAACGTTCTCAGTGGGATGCCCTCAGCGAAATCCCAGATGATTGCCTCAAAGCTGCGCGGAGTGTCGGACTGTGTGGCAAGTCTGAAAAATTAAAAAAGTCGGTGGAGTTTCGGTTGGAATCAGCACACAGTGCGAACATTCCGCTCAATATTCAAGCGTCACTCTCCTTGCAAACCGCCTGTTCTGACACCAAGGAACTGTAGAGTCGTCGGAGGCGGTGGCCATGACCTGCGCACCATCTGAGTGAAATCTACGAGCTACTTTGATTTGCAAAGCTCGACGAAACACCTCCCGTGATGAGTGGTCCATGTGTCGTAAGCCCTCAAAGCTACAGTCTTCAATTTGTCCATGCCCATTTCCCTGAATGCCTAGATCTGTTGAGTCATTCCGTATTGCCCTGGCCACCAAGCTGCCATCAGCGCAGCACTAGCGCTAGGAGCAAGAGCAACACTCGAAAGACACGCGAAGGAAATCTCTCACACTCTCTCACTCACGCACACAACTCTTTCTTCTTCTACCCTGTCTCGACTTCAGCATTGATCTCAGTTGGATCCTGCAACGTGGAACGTCACAGGGTCCACGACAACAGCGCTTCGCAGCGTCCACTCTACGTAAACTCCAAACGCATCCCGACCAGCCTGTTGGCCCTCGTGGAAGTCGATTCCATTCACTTCGTCCTGCAGCTTCAAAACTGAGAGCTCATGATTCCAAAGTTCCAAAGGCATGTCACTCACGAGCCGAGCCCATCTTGATGTCGCGTGCAATGCCTACCGCTATGCGCCTACTCCCACTACCACATCTTATTCTGCGACCACCATGACTGCCACAACTACTGAAAATATCATCGTCACTTCTGCGACCGTCCACGGACAGCCACAACAATCACCGGTGCCTGGTGGCCCTTCTCGCCGCCCAGCTTGAACTGCTGTGTGCCTGTTGAGGTTCAACGATGTTCAACGGTTCTTTCGGGTCTCAGGCTTCGAAGATATCCTGAGGGAAGGCATAGACATGGAAATTTGGGGGCTGGGGGGGGGGGGGCAAGAAGCTCCAATTCCAGGCCTGTCTGGTAGTTCCACAAGTACACGTGCCTGAGCTCAGCAAGCCATGCAAAGCCGCAAAAAGATGCTTTTCTTCTTACCTCTTCATGTACTCACCTGCTGCACAAAGCTGAGATTCTTCACTACCTTTCACAAAGAAGGCATGCCGGCGCGACCTGTCCACGGAGGTGCAGCCCAAGATGTCCGGCGCCTAGCGATGGCGAGGGCACCGACTGCGCCCTTGCGTTTGCGTTCGCAACAACCCCTTTTCGAGCCTAGACCCTAAGCCCAAGACCCCAGAAAGACTAAACGCCAAACCCTGCACACCAAACACTGAAGCCCAAAGCTCCTGAAGAACCCGATAAACTAAATTCCCGGATCTCCGCTAGGAGTGCTTGCATAGCGTCCTGCAGAAAAACACTATGCCCTGCAAGCCGAAATCAGCCTGAACCCGAAAAACCCTAGAGCCGAAAGACCCTAAAGCATGAAAACCTTCAGGCCTGAAACCCCCACTTGTGCACAAAACCCTAAACCCAAACCCTGAACCCTAATCCTGTGAAGATCAAAAACGCTTAAACCCCCAACAAGGCTAGAAGCTCTCCATCCTCAAAGCCCTCAACACTAGAACCAACCCGAACCGTCAAAGTCGAGAGATTACCTGGGGTGAACAGAACCGACAGTGCTTGAACTGCCACCCGTGTTTGAATCTGGAATCGGCAGTGTGCTTGAATCGCGAGTGTTTGAATCGCACGTGCTTGGATCGAATTGCAATTTTATGCGACTTTGACACCACCCCTGCTAGGTCAATCCACTTTATTGAGTCATTAGGGCTGTCAGACCATTCCCGAAACCCGTCCGCGCCGTCTTCGCAAAGGCCACGGAATACAGGCCGCCCATCGGTTCGCTCTTGGCGCGGTGCAGCTGAATGTCAAAGGCCATGACGAGTTGACGTGACAACAAAGACAGCACAGGGCAGAATCATTCCCATGATCAGAATCCATCGAAAGCAGAATGTGTCTGAGGCAAACAGAAGGCCAGCAGATGTCAACGTGCTCAGATCTTCCCCAATCCCAATGCAAAGCTTGCACTGCCCATACTGCCCGGCTGAGGCAAGCTCATTCTGCTTGCGCAAAGTCCTCGCATTCAAGGCTTTGGGAACATCAGCTGGGCACACTTCTCTGCCAATTCGCGTGTTCACGCCTATACATCGGTTAAATCGATCGACTCCTCATGTTGACCTGCAACTACTTGGAGTTATTGGAGTTGTGGGTGGGATCCTCAACCCTTCGAACACAAGATGGCCAGCGGTCTTCTCGGATTCGACAACTCTGGAACACCTTTTGACCCACTACATTCCCACATATTCCCACGAGGGCAGTCTTGTCGAGCACTTGCCGGGTGAGGTCGAAGACGTGGACTGTGGCATCCCATGATGCCGTCACCACACGAGTGGAATCCTCGCCTTGGGTGCTCTGCTGCTACGTGCTGTCCGTCCTACTCCAAGAGGCCTTGTAGATTGTTGGACCTTGTACACTCTGAGCGCCAGGCTCATTGCTACGCTATGTACAGGAGCCTTGTGGAGGTTGGAGTGGTGCCTGGCCAAACAATTTCTGACCGACAGCACTGGATCGACAAAGGACAAGCAAAGAGGAGCACCCATGTGAACTTCATTGAAACCCTCCAGCATCACCCAACCGTGCCCTGCTCGAGCGGACACAATGCAGCACCCGTTTGCAGCGTTGACCACATGTTCGGGCAACTGCAGTCAGAATGCTGATAATCCAAGTCGAGAGAACCTGTTTTAGCCTCTGACGAAAGCACGAGCGAGCTTGAGCAAACTCCGACTGTGCATTCGGCAACGTGAAACCCCAAGAAGGCTGCCTCTGAGACAGAGCAGCCAAAGCCAACACAAGCTCTGCAACTTCCATAGGTCAGCCCGGGTGGTTGTGGCCTGTCGATGACAAAGCGATCGCCCCTGACAGAGTCAGACTCACTGAAGCCATACTAGTCATACTATGAGCCCATGAGCTTAGACCCGTTCGGACTTCAAGAGGTCTGCAATCAGGCTCTTGCCCTGCTCTGATCATGCATGGTTGCTGCAAGGTTGGCAACAAGTTTCGGCTTTATTCGAGATGTACCACCTTCGGCACCAGCGACTCAAGAAGTGAAGAACATGAGGCACGTGCCCTTCACTGGCCGTGGATGGCTTTGCTACCGGCCCAGATCCTGCAAAGCGCTGAATGTTCGAGGGGGGGGGGGGGGGGGGGGGGGACGTGCCAAAGCCTTGACCATGAGGCGTCAGAGGTTCCCTATGAGACCCCCAAATTGACCTTGCTCGTGATGCATCTGTGTCCTCCCTGGCGGCTGACTTTGGAATCTCTAGAAACCCAGCTCTGAACCCTCTCAACACACTCTTTGGATCTCTACATTCTTGTTTTCTGGAGCGACCGAAAACCCTTTACAGAAGAACTCATCACGACAGGTGCCCCATGAGGTCCATGCAGTTAAGCTGACTCCCCGAAGAAAACTCGGGAAAACTCGGAGTAGCACACGGAGGCCCTGAACATCCCTGCCCTGCAGCTGCATGGTGGCAGCCTGGAAGCATGTTCGACGCCGGGCCTCAGGAAGAAGTCTGTTCTAAGGGGCCCAAAAAACCCACACAAACATAAGGATCCTGCTTTTGGGACATACGGGCCCCACTACGGGGGATTCCGAAAAGCAATGTTTGCAGGATCCTTATGTTTATGTGGGTTTTTTGGGCCCGACTCTTCGTCCGCACGCACACACACACACACACACACACAGAGACAGAGCCCGCTTCGCCAAGTACATGTGTGTTTGGAGGCTGCTGCGCTGCTGTCAGGCCGATGCAACGTGAACCAAAAGGACCTTGCCTGCGATTTGGGGGAGAAGCTTCGGCATTCAGAAGTCCATTGGCAACCACCAAAGAAAGGCCGGCCGCGGTTGGCAACAGCAACATCCATCTGAAACATCTAAGAACACCGCAACATTCTCAAAGGCCTGAAGCTACTGAGCAGCTACTGCAGATATGATAGATGTGACATGTGCGCTGAGGTCTCAAGCTCAGCATGACAGGCTTGACGACCTGCTGCTGGTCGGCCTGTGTCCTTTCCAGTAGACAAGCAAGAGACATGTGGCATGAACCACACAAACTCACAAAGATGTAAACACGGATGCGGAAAACAGCCTGAGCGACATCTTGAGCGATTCGTTCTCAGCTCCTTTTGTGCAGGGGCAGGATGTGGCATGGGTGAAAGGGTTGTTATTGCAAGTGCTGCACCGCTTTTGTCTCAACGATCTCGAGATCTTTGAAGGTTTTTGTTTTAGATTTGGCTGCTTGGACGGCTTTGAGGTCCAAGCGAAGCGCATCTCGCTGTTCAGTGACTCGCTGGAGTTGCTCCTGACAAGGAAACACTTCCGACTGGCCGACATCAGGTCCGTCGCCCGACGCGACCGTTCGAAGATTCTTATGCGGCCACAGGTTGGAATGCTCCCCCCTCCCCCCCCCCTTCCCCCGCCCCAAAAACGAGCAACAAAACATCGCGCCCACCAAGGGATCTACGACGACAAGACAGGACTACGCAACCTGTAGGGGACTGTGGAGTCTCCTGAGTCTATTGACAGCCAAACACAAGAAGTGCAGCTCCTGAATAAACCCCGAGATACTGAGGTTACGACAGCATCTACTAAACAAGGGAGCGGGTGAGCCTGCAGTTTCTGAAACTCCTTGTTGACCTGCTCTCATGTGCTCTCCAGGGCGATGCAACTTCGATAGAACTTTAAACGAGTACTTCGCAACACACAACACATACAACACGCCACAGCCAGAAGAGCCAACGGCAAAGTAGGAAGGTTGATCCACAGTCTGGCCTTGTTGAAAAAGTTCATGCTTCTTGAGAGGTGCTCCTGCGTATCCTGGGAAGATGTCTATCTGAGAACTCCTCACTAGTCGGAGGCGTGCTTCGTGGAGGGATGGGCGCAAGCCTCACAGTTCTTCCTGGGGTCTTTTGATGTTTTACACCATACCGGAGCATCTGGACGATTCCGCATCCTTGAACGGAACCATTGAACAATGACAGCAAAACTGAACATGTGGGAGACAGCAAGGCTCCTCCTTGAGGGAATCCGGGATGTTCTCAATCTGAGCAGGGCTGTCGAGGCTGAATCGGAAGAGACGCATGACGTATTTCAAAGGAGAGAAGGCGAGGATGGAGGAGGGGAGAGTGTATAGCTGCATGCTGCAGAAATGATGCGATGCCTTGTCCAACAGAACATGCAAGATGAGCATGTTGCAATTCAGTCTGATACCCCCGTCGGGCACAACCCTTAGGCTTCAGGCCCTAGTTTTAGCCGTTGGTTTGGGATGCGCACTGGGTTTTCGAAAAAAGCTCGGAAACCAATCAATCGGGCGGCAGCATAACAAAGCTATCTCAACGGCGGCTACGCACATCATTCACATCTCTGCGTCCTCCTACACCATCGAGCACTGCAAAGCAAAATGCCCAAGAAATGCAGACAGAAGCTCTGCGCCTTGAAGGGCATGGTCAGCTCCGTTCCGCTCAGGGAGCGCAGCGTCCCCCCCTCAGCTATCGAACAGCCGGTAGCGCTGTAGCTTTGTATGTTCAGCTGGGGCTTTTCCGTAATTGAAGTCGTCAACCTACGCCACACACACACAGCCATCACAACATGCGATCTTTGCGGTTCTAGCAACTTGTTTGGTCAGTCAGTCATGGGACCTTAGAAGGGGATTGAGTGAATCGAACCATCTTCACACGGCTCAAAACAGCGATGCTGTGTCACAGGCGAAGAATGCGTGCACCCCTCCTTCTGCCAGCATAATAGCCCCTTTTGGAAAGTTTGAAGCAACAAAGGATCACATGCACACCGAGGACACTGCCGGCGGCATCGTGTCAACAAGACCTGGACGACACAGCTGACAGATTTTTGCATTTTGTGGACAGTCCCAGGATTGAAACGGTCTGAAGCATCAGCGTTCAACTCCTGCGCCCACCCCCTCATGCCTGCAACGCGACTCTCGCAGTGGGTCCGGTGTATTGAACGCTGAAGCTGAGAGCCAAAGAAAAAACAGTACTCATGCTCGTGATGCAATCGGAACGTGTGGCTTGAAGACAGGCGACAACTAGACGCAATTTATGAAACACAAGGCCATGCTGCAGGATGCAGGCTTTGAAGAAAATATTTCCCTGCGGCAAGCTTAACTCAATCTCCTGCACTCTCACCTGTCCATGTGCCTTGCGTACGGAGACAAGCCAGCGCTTCAGGCGCGTCATGGCCGACTGGTTGTTTTCCTTCTTCCTTTCGCATCCAGCGAGGGAGTCTCCAGTTCAAATGCTGTTCCACCCGGAAAGCAGACAGCAGAGCATACATCGTCGCTGCCGTAGTTTAAAGAGACACCAACCAGGGTGTGCCCCGAGCCGCGGGGAAACGGAGCCAATTCAAGCAGACCGAACCAAACCACACTGTCACGACAGCGGCTGCCGTTCGTGAAGAAATTTCCTGAAAGACGTGGCAGCTGTTCTGTTGCCCTGAAACCCAGGCAAGAGCTGCCTAACTAACCCCAGAGGTGCCGAAGATCTTTGAGAAATGGCATTGCCAGGGGGCGAGTCGAGGCGCCAAAAGACCTGCCTCCAGTAGAAGGAGTGTAGATGTCTTGGGGCGTGATAGCTAGTAGGCCAGTCTGGCAAGTCCCGGGCCACAGGGTAAGGGAACTAACGAATAATCAGACTGAACCAGGCTTGCCCAGCCACGAGCCGTGAAGGGAATGCGACACAGCAACCAGGCCGAGGCAAGAAAAAGAAACCATCGTGGAGTCGTAGGAGCCCTTGGTCCGGAAGGGCATATGGCCCATGTGCCCAAGCCTGGGAAAGGGCCATGGTCAGGGCAGGCACCCATGTCATCCGAAGCCGTCCTCCCTGTGACGGACACATGGCGAGCTGCACTAATGAGGCATGACAACGAAAAGAGATGAGCGGAGGTGGAAGGATGAAATGGATGAAAAGGAGGAGAGACCCTCACGTCCAACGGGAGTCAAGCTCCTGGAAGCCACCCAGGACCCAGGGAGGCGAGAAACCGCGAGATACGGAAGGAACTAGGGACATGCCCCCCAAGGAGCAATGATACTGAAAAGATATGAGCGGAAGAGAACAGACCTTGTGCTGTGGAGAAGGCACTGCAACTGACCAATCACTGCGCTCTGAAAGTAGAAGAAGACGATGGCCCGAACTGGAAACCACCTCCTGTACTCGGCGCTGCTGGCAAATCCGACCGGCGTTCAGCCCTCAGCAGCAGGAACAGTAAGCCGTCAGCGGCTTCCATTGCAGCGCAGGAAAAAGCCCCTCCCAAGGCGCTTGTGGGAAGCCTTCGAAAAGGGGTCACCTCTTTGGCTTGGGCCGTGATGGCGGCATCCTGCCCTAAAGAAGCCAAAAACACGAACAGATCGGATCGGAATGCATCCATTCTTATGTCTCAAACCTGGTATGCAAGCACTGGCAATCAGGCGGTCCTTTCTCCCTCTTTGCCGGGTTTGCCTTTGGCTCCTACAGAGAACCGGCTCAGGGAGATGGAAGGCTCGGGTAGTCAGGTTCCATAGAAGCATTTTCAATCCACCTCCCATCACTTTGAACGGGAGTGTCAGGTAGAACTGCACCTGCGAACGCTCCGAAGACATCAGAGGCAGATAAACCTGGAGGTGATCTAGAAGTCAGGGCGGGCTGCCTTGGGTCTGATACAGCTCCCTCCAGTGATATGGGCCATGGGCTTTTGCAGTGCTCGTCGGGCTTTTCAGCTAAGTGATAGAAGACTTGTACTTAGAATATGCCTCTGAGGTTCAGGAAGCTGCTCAACTTTACTTCTGCCTTCTCTGCTCCTCTGCCAAAACACATCCTCAATTCAAAAACCAAAGAAGCTGACATGAGCTGACGTGATGTACAACTTCCAGCACCAAGCCTTCGGGACCACGCACACACGACTTCTACACCTGCCAGTGACCAGGGAAGCCTTTGGAGATTGGCTGTGGGGCTTTGCGACATTTGTTGTTACAGGTCGTGCCGATGAGGTCATCCTTGCAGAATGAGAACGGCTTGCCCGAATACCCACGCCGCAACCGCAACCTCCCGCACGATAACCGACAGACACTACGTTGCGCATCGTTGCGCTATGTTCCGTGCCCTTAGCTGAACTGCGTGGCAGTATTGTTTATAGTATTGTTTTAGTACGCCCCAAGAATCAGATATAAAACTACGAAGAGAATAAGTGAATGAATGCATGCACGAATATTATATTAAGTGCATGAAATTCACGAATGAACGAAGTAAGCGATTGAATCTATGAATCAGAAAATATATACATCCTAATGAATAATACTGTGCTACATTCATCCTTTTCTACGATGTTTTCATTATTATCTTCATTCAGTTCACTTAACAATTGATGAAGAGAGAAAAACATTGTGATCGCGAATTCATGTTTAGTGCCGTACTTCGCTTGTAAACCTTATTTAAGGGGCTAATATTTGACTGGTAGCAACACCAACAGGCCAGCAGACCATAGCGAGCTTCTTGAGACGTTGTCGCAAGGACTCCCCCTCTTGCTCCTGTCAGGTCGACCATCTGGCTCGACACGAGTACTACGAGACATAGCGCAACACCTTAGCACCGAAGAGTACCGGAGGAAGCCGCAGCTGCCTTCTTCTGAAGGAGCTCGCGCTTCTTTGCCGCCTCCTCCCGCAAGGCTTGGAGCACGGCTTCGTCTTCCGCCTGGAGACTCCAGGTTTAGGGTAGGTTCAGGGTCTCGGTGCTCGGAAACACCCCCCTAACAAGGCCGAGAGGAGGTTTGTCTGGGGATCCCCATAAAGACGCCCCGAAACGCTCTCTCGACTCCGGCCCTCGGAAGCCGAAGCCAAGCCCCGTTTCTGCTTTTTGTTTCAAAGTCTCTTTTACTCTTCTTCTCTTTCTCCGCGGATAAGTTTACCACATAGACAGTCGGCTTTAAGGGCTTTTTTCCTTTTTCATGGTTCAGCCGGAGTTTAGGGTTGCATCATCTTCGGGCTCCCACGAAAAAAGAAGTTGTTTCAAGCGTTCAAAGATCCTGCAACTCCAACTCCTGTCGCCTCGTCATCTGCACTGGCAGCCGAGTGGGCGAGCATGGCCATGGTCTGCTGGTAGAGGTTTGAGACACGAGCTTTCTCCTGGCAAGATCTGCCCAAAGGGCGGAAAGGCCGCTCAGAGCGCCAAGCAGACCATACTTCCCGTAAATGAAAGCCTTTGCAAAGGAAAGAAGTTGAAACAGGAACAGGCAAACTTTCCAAAAGGTCACGACGCAAGCCAATATAAATGCTTCAGAAAGAATTGAGGTCGCATGGTCTCAACGAACCCTGACAAGTACAGAATTCAGACGTGAAATGACTTGACCGAGACCCGTGCCTTTTCAAGCTTGTCTCGCTCTTCCAGCAGCCTGCAACTTGACATGTGCGTGGGACATCGCGGGGCCCACAAATGTGTCCCAAATATCCCTGCTAACTCACAAATTCTTACAAATGCCAAAGATGTTTGCCCCGGGCTTTTCGGACATTTGCAGCATGGCCTGGCATTCGCCTGTGTGGCCTTCTCCAGGGTGGACCTCGAAACACTTTCTTCACATGTGCCATGGCCTTCCTGGAAGGGTTCCGGGATACACTGAAGCAAAGTTGTTCCTGCGCGGCCGGGCTCGCGGAACTGCTTCTGCTTCTCGCGATCCTTGTCCAGTGCCTGGCTCTTGCTACAATGTCTAACTACATATGTGTATGTATATATGTATATGTACATATACATACATGCAATAAGTATAGCCATATATATATATATTATTAAATATATATATATATCTATATTTCTGCATCTACAGTACTTGCCACAGTTTCTTCAGTAGTGCAGGGGCTTGGCGAGAGCCGGCTGCACTCTCCTCGCCTCGACCCTTAGCATCAGCCGGTTGCGCTCGTCGACCACCTCAAGCAAGTGCAGGTGTCAAAAGGGTTTAGGGTTCAGGGTTTAGGGTTTAGGGTTTAGGGAGACTTCTCAGCAAGGTGAAAGTACAGCTCAGCTGTGGCAACATCTACTATGAGGCCACTAGTAAAACCGAAGAGGAACACCGATAACAAGAAAAGCCACTAACCATCACAGAGCCAGCCGTGCGTGAAAGGTGCCTAAAGGCTTAAAAATTCGCTTCGGGAGGCGGCCCCAGCTGCAGACGCTTTTTACATGCTTTCTTGGGGGGGAAGCCGGTTGCCAAGCCCGGAAAAAGAAAAGCCGCTGGGAGGCAGCCTTCACGTCAACAACCCGTGAGCCTGAAAACAACACCGCCAACGGCGCCCCAATTCCGCTGCTCATTTGTGGGAAGGCTGCACCTCCTACCACGAAGCACTCCGTGGATCTCTGTGGCATACGCATGCGCCCCCTGGTGTGAATCTTCGGCTGTCTCAGAGCGCCTTTGTCGATCAGCAACTTCAGTTGCCAAATCCAAAATGGCCATCGCTTTGTGTGCCCACAAGGAAGACTCAAGAAAAACGATCCTTAGAGGCTGGTGTC